TGTATTATTATTAGTATTATATTGTATTACATTATAATATTATAAATATTACATGTATATACAATATATTATATTACAACATATTATATTATAAGTAAAGCACAGGAGACAAGATAGAACTGTCTTCTGCCCCCCTCTCTCTTCATAGATAGATAGATAGATAAACAGATACATATAAACCCCACTTGCCTAGTTTCCAACATACCCCTCAACCTCTGAGGATGCTGACACGTCAAGAGACAATGCTTCTAGAAGAAGGCCATACAACCCAGAAAATTCACAGCAACCCAGTGATTCTGGCTATGAAAGCCTTCAACAACACAGATATGTATTGCTTTCACACCTTAATTTAGATTTAAACCCATCGGAACTTCCTAAATCAATTCGCACACCAAAAGCGAGCTATTACTTTGGTATTAAACATGTTTACTGTGGATTCTGTGGCACAGTTTGTCAATCAAAATATGTCTACAACTCACTGTATATTTGGAGACGGTGTGCACACACATGCAGTGTTTGGAAAGAATTTCCAAAGAGGAAGATTGAGAATTAAAGATACAATTAACTGCCAGATTAATCAATTGTCCATGATGGGTCAGAGACAAAGGAAATTATAGTCAAATACCCAGAGGCGGCCCTAGGTAATTTGCAACGGTAAGCAAACAGTATTTTGCCCCCCCCCCCCCAACCAATCACTGATATATATATTCTGTTTGTCGTGGGAGTTCTGTGTGCCATATTTGGTTCAATTCCATCATTGGTGGAGTTCAGAATGCTCTTTGATTGTAATGAACTATACATCCCAGTAACTACAACTCGCATATGCCAAGGTCTATTTCCCCCCAAGAGCGCCTCAAGAGTGCCCCTGGGCAAAATCAACTATACTGCAAATGCTTACTTTGCGTAATGGGTTGAGCTGCCCCTTCAAATACCCATGGAGGGCACCGGGTGGTTAAGCATTGGGGTATTACACTTATAATTGAAGCAGCCTATACAGTGCAGAGATTTATGCTGTTTTGGTCTTTTTTGAGGGAAATAAATAATAATAATAATAATAATAATAATAATAATAAACTTTATTTATACCCTGCCGCCATCTCCCTCAACGGGGACTCGGGGCGGCTAAATGGCTGCTTGGTCCGAAATATTGGCCTTTTATGTTTAATATTTAAACATTAATGTTTAAATACTAAATATTGTTCTTTAATGTTTAGTATTTCAGCTTTGTATTCAATGACTTCCTGAAGGCAACCATCCATGCCATCTCAAGATCTTGCCTCCAGCCACACTTCAAGATCTTGAGAATCTCCTCCATGAGCAGAAACAGACATAAAATCAGTAGATGTGCTTAGCTGAAGTACTGTATATACTCGAGTGAAAGCCTAGTTTTTCAGTCCTTTTTTTTAGGCTGAAAAAGTCTCCCCCGGCTTATGCTCGAGTCAATGTTATTTATTTTTTTACTTTGTAGTTATTATTATTATAACATTTATTATTTTATGATTGTTGTTATTATTACATTTATTATTTTACTCTATTTATTATTGTTATTGTTACATTTATTATATTATTATACTATTATAATTATTATTTTACTCTATTTATTATTATTGGAGGACATGTAAGCATATTTACATTGAAGAAGGTTAGAATAATGATTTAATCAGAATTGGACAGTCTAATCTTGAAATACAGTTTTATGTAAATATTCAAAAACATTTAACCTACTAATGCCTAAATTAATATAATTTTATTGGTATCTATTTTTATTTTGAAATTTACTGGTAGCTGCTGCATTTCCCACCCTCGACTTATACTCGAGTCAATACATTTTCCCAGTTTTTTGTGGTAAAATTATGTGGCTTGGCTTATATTCGGGTCGGCTTATACTCGAGTATATACGGTAGATGTGTTTAGCCTTTCAAATCCATATATTCTCTATTGAATATTGAATTCTCACTGAATATTCAATAGTCAACTAGATGATGATGGGAGATCTACAAGAAGATTATGACCACAGTTGCACTCTTCTATTCATGAGCTCCAGGGATTGGCATTCAGAGGATACAGCCTCAGTACAAGTCATGTGTAGTACTATTTTTTTTTTGTCTGAGGAATGACTTGAGAAACTGCAAGTCGCTTCTGATGTGAGAGAATTGACCATCTGCAAGGACGTTGCCAAGGGGACACCCAGATGTGTTACCATCCTGTGGGAGGCTTCTCTCGTAATACTATATGGGAAGCTGGAAATGACAGATGGGGTTCACCCTGCCTTGCGGATTCAAACCACCGATATTCAGGTCAGCAGGTGTTTAACCCAGGCATAGGCAAACTTTCTACCGTGGGGCCGCATGGTGGGCCGGGAGGAAGAAGGTCCTCTCCCAGTCCTTTCCTCTCCTTCTTCTCTTTTGGAGGCAGGAAGTGAAGGAAAGACGGGAAACGTTTGGATTAGGGTTAGCCTTGGTTAGGAAGAGATAGTGAACGGGAGAGAAAAAGTATATCCATGAGACCCCGACTTGCCTACTCCTGATATAGAATCCTAGAGCTGGAAGAGACCCCAAGGGCCATCCAGTCCAACCCACTGCTATGTGATAAGGCACAACCAAAGAACTCCCGATAGACAGCCTCTGTGGAAAAGCCTCCAGAGAAGGAGGCTCCACCACACTCCAAGGCAGCCTAGGCTACTCTCCAGGAAGTTCTTCCTAACCTTTTCAGTCGAATCTCTTTCCCTGCCATTTGAACCCATTGCTCCTTTGTGCCCTGGTCTCTGGAACAGAAGAAAGTCATTTTCCTCCCCCACCTCTCCCTCCTCAATGGAACACTCTTTGAAAACGGGACACACGGCTCTCATGTTCCCTATCTACCTTCTCTTCTCCCAGCTAAACATCCTCCAGGAGGAAAGGAGGAAGGAAAAAGAAAAGGAAGGAAAGGAAGGAGGGAGGGAAGGGAGAAGGAAGAAAAAAGACAAAAGGGAAGGCAGGTAGGAAGGAAGGGGAAAGAGAGAAGGGAAAGGAGGGAAGGAGGGAAGAAAGAGGGAAAGAAGGACAAAAAGGTGGAAATAAAGGAAGGAGGGAGGGAGAAAGAGGGAGGGAAGGGGGAAGGAAAAGGAGGAAGAAGGGAGGGGGGGTGGAAGAGGATGTGGGGAAGGGAGGAAGGAAGGAAGAGAGCGAGGGAAGGAGGGAGGAAAGAGGGAAGGGAGGAAGGACAAAAGGGTGGAAGGGAAGGAAGGAGAGAAGGAAGGGAGGGAGGAGATGGAGGGAGAGAGGGAAGACAAAAGGGAAGGAAGGAGAAAGAGAGAGGGAAGGAGGAAAGAGGGAGGTAAGGGAGGAAAGAAGGAAAGAGAGAAGGGAGGGAAGAAGGGAAGAAGGGAAGAGAGAAGGAAGAAAAGACAAAGGGGAAGACGGTTAGAAGGAAGGGGAAAGAGAGGGAGGAAGGAGGGAAGAAAGAGGAAAGGAAAGAAGGACTAAACGATAGAAGGAAAGGAAGGGGGAAGGAGAAAGAGGGAGGGAGGGAAGGGAGAGAAGGATGAAGGAAAGATAGGAGGAAGGGAGGGAGGGTGGAAGAGGATGAAGGGAAGGAAGGGAGATAGGGAAGGAGGAAGGAAAGAGAGGAGGGAGGGAGGAAGGGGATGTAGGGAAGGGAGGGAAGGGAGGGAGGAAGAAGAGAGAGAGGGGAGGGACGAAAGAGGGAAGGGAGGAAGGACAAAAGGGTGGAAGAGAATGTAGGTGGGAAGTAGAAAGAGAGAGGTAAGGAAGAAAGGAGGAAGGAAAGAGAGAAGGGAGGGAGGAAAGACAAAAGGGAAGGAAGGAGAAAGAGAGAGGGAAGAAGGGAGGGAGGGAGGAAAAGAGGTAGGAAAGAGAGGAGGAAGGGAGAACAGGATGATGAGGGAGAGGAGCTCAAGGGCCGCATCCAGCCCCTGGGCCTGGGTTTACCCATACCTGGTTTAACCCATTGTGCCACCACGGCTCCAAGAGGAAGCTAATTAGGCACATCCTTGTTCACACAGTTGTCATGAGGAGCATTTCCAAAAACCAATCCTTGCTTGGCAGTCAGCACCGACTTCCTCACTTCCTGTGGCTCATATCATGATGCTGTCTAGCAAAACCCTGGCATTTTGGTGCCTTACCAAAAGTGGGGAAACAATGTTGTGCGGGTTTAGGGATCCATACTAGCCTCCCAGAAGACCTTGGAGGACCACATCCACCATCATAGTGCTATTAACCAAAACTCCTTAATGCCCTAAATACCCTCCAAGAGATATGAGTAAATTTTTGCCCTGCTTTAGGCCTCCAGGCCTTTGACCAGACTTTAAAAATGCTTTCTACTGAGCCCAAAAGGCTCCCTAAGGAAACTAAAATGTAACAAATCCCCAAGAGCAGCAGTTCCCAACCTTTGGTCCTACAGCTATTTTGGACTTCAGGTCCCAAGATGCCTGACAGTTGGTCAGGGTGGCTGGGACTTCTGGGAGCTGAAGTCCTAAATACCTGGCAAACCAAAGACTGAACCACTGCCCTAGCAACTTAAGCAAAACAAAAACCACTCCGGAGGGCCATTTTCTCATCTTTGCCCTAAAAGATTGGCTCTTTCCTTCTAGGCCTCAGAGAGCCTTGTTGTTCCCAGTGCAAACATATATTTTGCTCCTATTTTCTGACTCTCCCCTCGTGATTTTAGCCTTGCAAAAGGGCTGACAAAGAGAAGGTTGTTGAAAAATGCTGGTGCAGAACAGCAAGAGGTTGCTTTCCAAGATGCACGTTGAAATAGGCACATTTAGTAATTTTGGGCTGCTTTCTTTTTAACAGAGGTGAATTCAGACCCGGTGTTAATTGAAATGAAAGCTCTTTGGTGCCAGAATTAGTAGAATGATTTTATTTTTTGGTCAATGAATGTCAGAGAGCTGAAAGTGAAGCGATTTTGGAAACAAAAGAGTGAAAACAAGAGATTGAGGAAGAGGAGGTTTGGTGTGGTTTGAGAGAAATGGCTAATAAAACTTCTCCAAAACTTACTGATTTTTTGTTTTCCTTTTTTTCTTTTACGGTAGCTTTATTCAGGAGAGAGTGGCAAGTTGCCTACAGAACAGAGATGAGCACAAACAAGTCACAGCACCAACCACATACAGGAACAAAAAAACAACCCACTGTTGATTTGTTGTACACCACATTACACGATCAAAATGTAACAAAACAGAACAGAAAATGAATTTTAAAAATACACATTTAATGCTTGATGGGATTTGTATTTGGCATGGGTGACCACAATTTGTTCACAAATAGAAAGCAAGCAAATGTCAGGTTCCAATCATTTCTACTATTTCTGGCTAGGTTAGGCATGTTAAAGGAGCATTTGAAATTGTGTTCTGCAAGGCCCAATTGTTTATTTTTCAATAGCTTTTCCACTCCACAAGCCCGATGTGCACTGGTTAATATTTCACCCTATAGGTTTTTAAAATATCAGCACCATTTAGCAGAGTATAAGAAAGACAAAAAGGGTATAGAATTGTTTGCTGATCTTTCCCTTGCTGTCTATGCCAAACCTGGCATAGCAGCACTTGACTACTAGTCCTTGCAGGATATTCCAAAGTACACAATACTATGCTATGCCTTCTATTCCTACGCAGGAAATCCACCAAGATGAGGAATGCTAGCCCAGTTGGTTTAAGATCAAATCGAAGAAACCCTCCTCCATCGGCCTTTCCGCATCCCTTCTAACTCATTTGGGTTTTGACATGGCTCTCAAATAAATCCAACAGTGACTGTGGGGCATTGCCTTTTGTGATCTGCACTCTCGCTCTTATGTATCTTACTCCCCTAGTGCCCTGTCCATACATTATGTTGGGCCTTTCCACACAGCATATATATACCTGTATCTATGTACAGTTGTCTGTCTTGTCAGTGTATAACGGCATTGAATGTTTGCTGTATGTCTGTTCTGTGATCCCCTTTGGGGTGAGAAGGATGGAATATAAATACTGTAAATAAAAAATAAATGTTCTGGACAACAACTCTCAGAATCTCCCACTTTGGCCATGGTCCTGCTGGCTGTGGGTCATAGAAGACCTCCACAAACACTCACTTTCAAAAAGTCTGCCATGACAATGCCCAGAAAGAAATGGCTTCCCTCTGAAGGTCTAGATCCTTCCAAGCATGTTTATACTTTCCATATTAAATGGATTAAGAAAATTAGACCCAAGTAATTGCTCGACTATGGAATGCACTTTCTCCCACATTATCTTCTAAGCCTCAATTATTTTAGTTACAATAGGAACAAATAAATGAGTTGCCCATCATTCTTCCATGGGGAAAAGAGTCTTCACTGAACAACTGCAATCCTCTAAATAGGTCTGTGATATCCTCACAATTCACAAGACTTTCTAACTTGGGGGCTGCATGCTAGCACTCCCTGTTATGAGGACTAACTGCCCTGTGATGGATGGATGGATGGAGGGAAGGAAGGAAGGGAAAGAGGAAAGAAAGAGAGAAGGAAGGACGAAAGGGAGGAACAGAAGGAAGGAAGGAGAAAGAGGGAGAAGGGAAGAAGGGAGAAAAAAGGGAAGGAAGGAAAGACAAAAGGGAAGGAATTGTGGCGCAGCTGGCTGATTGTCAGCTGCATTAAGATCACTCTGACCAAAAGGTCATGAGTTCGAAGCCAGCCCGGGTTGGAGTGGGTTTCCAACCAATTGTGTGTAGCCTGTTGTCGACCTTTGCAACCCAAAATACAGTTGCATCTGTCAAGTAGGAAAATTAGGTACCACCTTAAAAGTGTGGGGAGGCTAAATTAACTGATTTATGAGGCCATAAAGAAGACTCCAGCAAAGCATTCCAGCGGGGAAGCATGCGGGGAATGCGGAAGTGCTTCATCAGTGTCGCAGATGGACGATGAAAGCGACAGCTCCCCTGGCGGCCAGAAAAAGTTAAATAGCCTCTGTGTATGTCTGTATATGTTGTATGTCAAAATTGGCATTGAATGTTTGCCATATATGTGTACACTGTAATCCGCCCTGAGTCCCCTGCGGGGTGAGAAGGGCGGAATATAAAAGCTGTAAATAAATAAAAATAATAAATAAGGAAGGAAGGAAGGAAGGGTGGAAGAAAGGGTGGTAGGGAAGGAGGAAGTAAAAAGAGAAGGAAGGAAGAATGGGTGGAAGGGAAGGACGAAAGGAAAAAGAGGGAGGGAAAGGGAGGGGGAAGGAGGAAGGAAAGAGAACAGAAAGGAAAACCAAAAGGGAGGGAAGACGGGAAGGACGAAAGGGTGCAATGGAAAGGATGGATGGATGGATGGAAGGACAGTAGGAAGGAAAGAGAGAAGCAAGGAAGGACAAAAGGGTGGAAGGGAATGGAGGGAGGGGGAAAGAGGGAGGGAAGGTAGGAAAGAGAGAAGGAAAGATGAAAGGGAAAGAGGGGAGAGGGAAGGAAGGAATGAAGGACGAAAGGGTGGAAGGGAAGGAAGGAGGGAGGGAGAGGAGGAAGGAAAGAAAGGAAAGATGAAAGGGTGGAAGGGAAGGAGAAAGAGGGAGGGAAAGAGGAAGGAAAGAGAGAACAAAGGAAGGATAGGATGGTGAGAAAGTAAAGTGCCCTGAGAAAAAAGCCCGAGGGGCTGTGTCCGGCTCCTGGGCCTGGGTTTGTCAATACCTAGACTGAAGAATGAAGACAGAAACATAGACCACCAATTGCCTTGCATCTCTGTCTTCAACTTGAACAAGATTTGTTCTTAGAATTATATAATTACAGAATTAAGGAGCTCCAACCGTCACCTATACCAACCCCCCGCCATACAGAAATGTAGTTGAATCATCCCTAAAAGAAGGTCATCTGCCTTCTGTTTTAAAAAACTACACTGAAGAACAGTCTCTCCAATATAGCAAAGCTCTTTTTGTCCTTTAATCTCCTATGAGTTGTCTTGGTCTGTGTCTTTTCTTTAGAGCAGCAATAAACAAGCCCCTTACATGTTTTACATGATATGCCTTCAGATATTTAAAAGGGGGCCACTTTTTTACAACTTGACTGATTTGTAGCTTCATATCCATCATCATCATCATCATCATCATCATCATCATCATCATCATCATCATCATCATCCCTTTCCCTGTGTCTAGAAGTATTTCCCCCTTTTTATTGAGTTCCTTCGACATTATTTTGGAAATAAAGGTAAACACAACTTTCATCTCCTGAATTGCGTATCCCATTCATAAGCAGCACTCTGTAACTCTGTAGTACAAAAGTTTAAGAGTAAGTTAACAAGTTTCCCAGATAATAACCGAGAAGGAAAATATGCAGAAAATAAAATTAGATTTTTAAAAAACCCATTACAAATGCTGTTCCAAGGACAACCAAATCACTGAAATGTTTTTCAATGCATCCCTCTTTCCAGATACATTAATGCATTAAACAAAAAGTAGGCTCCTATTGCCAATGAGAATATTATCTCCAGTGAGGACGTTCAGTGTCAGCTGTGGCTACCAATTCTCTAAGACCTAGACAGAGCCAGTGGCCTCCCCACTGATGCCAGGCATGTTAAAGCAGGTGGAGGTGTGGAATGAGAACCAGCTGAGCCATAAATGATGCAATAAAACAAAACAAAAAGGTAGGGATCATCTCTAGTCCAGCTGAGATCTTTCAAGGACTGAACTGGGACCTCTGAATGTCACCCCGACCATAAGGTCTCACTTTAGAGAAAAGTCCTGCCAGACAATTAAGTCCCACACAACCATCCAGACTCCCTTGACTAAAGAGATATTCCCATCTCCTTGAATGACTTTACTATCAATTAAGAAGGCCTACTTTATCAACCAAGGCTGTCTCAAAAGGACCAAAGTGTCTCTGCTTCCTTTCCAGTTTCATAGATAATAACATTACACACCTGCAACAGGAGGGCTGTTTGTCTCTTGCAACACTTCTGGGCAAACCACCGAAAACACAACGTAAGCTTGAGGCATACCTGATAGAGGCAATGGCACACACTTCGAAGCTGGGGAGGGAACTCAGCCGAGGAGTTGATGATGGCATGAAAGAATTTTTCAGTCATCTGGAGGAGGCTCTGCTGGTTGTTTTCAAGGGTTTCGCTGGATTCCAACCTGCAAGACACGAATCGGTCAAGGCTTTGGCCCTAAAAGGTTGACCAGGCGTCTTTTGCACAATCAGAGCTACAGCTATGTCTCCCTTCATCCAAAGAAAAGACTTTTCAGTTCAGTGATGTAAGACTTGCCATATCTAAGGATTCACATTTCTAAAGGCAGGTGATAACTTACTGTAGATACTTGAGTATAAGCCGACCCGAATATAAACCGAGATACCTAATTTTACCACAAAACTGGGAAAACGTTTGACTCAAGTATAAACCGAGGGTGGAAAATGTAGCAGCAACTGATAAATTTCAAAATAAAATCAGATACCAATACAATTACATTAACTGAGGCAGCAGAAGGTTACATGTTTTTGAATGTTTACATAACACTGTAATTTAAGATAAGAATGTGCAACTCTGATTCTAAGCATCTTCAATGTGCTTATGTATCCTTCCAATAATAATAAAGTAACAGAAATAATAATAAGAAAAAAAGAAGAGTAAAATAATGGAAATGTAATAATAACAGTAATAATAGAGTAAAATAATAAATGTAATAATAACAATAATAAAGTAAAATAATAATGTAATAATAACAGAGTAAAATAATAATAATAATAATAATAATAATAATAATAATAATAATAAATAGAGTAAAATAATACATGTAATAAAAATAATAATAACATAGTAAAAGAATAAATAACCTTGACTCAAGTATAAGCTGAAAGGAACATTTTCAGCCTATAAAAAGGGCTGAAAAACTAGGCTTATACTCGAGTATATACAGTAGTCTCAAAAAATGAGGGATGACAACAAGCATTCTCAATTTTTCCATGAGTAGAATATATGGCCAGATAGGCATATTCAAAGCACCCCTGACAGATGGCCATCCAGCCTCTGTTTCAAAGCCTCCAAAGAAGGAGCCTCCACCATACTCTGGGGTAGAGAGTTCCACTGCTGAACAGCTCTCACTGCTGAACAGCTTCCTAATCTTCTCTCTCCTCTTCCCCTCCCTTAACAGTGTGTTTTCTTTTCCAAATCCTCCCTTGCTCGAGAGGGAGAGAACAGACAAGTATCTCGAGCTCCGATGATGACCTGGGAAGGTATCCCACTGGAGCATTGCAGCACACCCAAATACCTGTGTGACGGTGCTCTGACTTACAAGAAGCACTGTTTGACTATCAAGCAAAAAAGGGTGCTAAAAATAATATTGTAGAAAAGCTGACTGGCACAACCTGGGGATCACAACCAGACACAGTGAAGACATCTGCCCTTGCATTTTGCTACTCAGCTGCTGAATACGCATGCCCAGTGTGGAATACATCTCACCATGCTAAAACAGTGGATGTGGCTCTTAATGAGACATGTTGCATTATCACAGGATGACTACGCCCCTGTCAGGTTTTACAATGTATTGTAACGTAATATAGCTGAGCCATGCACTGCTAATAGGCTTCTATTGGAATTGCTGAGTCATGTATTAACTGTATATAGAACTTCATTTGGGGAATGTGTTCTGGCCTAGTCCAGGTGATTGTGAATGATGTAATCCTGGGTCTGAGTTAAGTTAATGAGTTGGGAACCAATCAGTGATTGCTATGTGTAATTGTATAGGATTGTATATAAGGAAGTCATGTAGAGTGTATACTCTCTCCTTGTGCTGTGATGCTGTTTGTCGAAGGCTCTATGTAATTGATTAAAAGAACCTGTCTGCTAAGACAAGATATAACCGTGTGCTGTGGTAAGTTTGTAATATCATCTAGACTGGGGGAAAGACAATGGTAAAACTGACAATGGCAGGGCATGTGCTCAAGTGTCTGTAAAAGAGTACCAGAGTGACTGCAGTTTGTGGGAGCAGTTGACTGAAAATACTGTGCAGGAAGAAGCTACTGGAAAGCGCTGAAGTTGTTCAACTGATCTGCTGCTGAATTGTGAAATTAATCTCAACAGCCCAACACCACTGGAGAAATTATACTGTTCAGCCAATATTGCACCACCTGACATCTATCAGGAAGCAGCAGCTAATAATGAAAGCACCAAGGCAGTGACATCTCCAGTCCATCCTCTATTTGGATATCAGCCAGCATGCCAACATCTTAAATCAAGAAAAAGCTTTCTAAGATCTACAGAGATACTGGCAGGAACACCTCAGCAAGCGAGAGCCCAAAAGTGGCAGGTTAAAACCCAGAACCTCAATCAGTGGGTGATACCAGACGAGAAACTCCCTTCTGGGCACGTAGAAGACTGACTGGGCAACTTGGAAGGTGCTGAACCCAAGATGCAGAGGCAACCTTTAAAAAATGGGGTTGCAAAGTGGAGTCTACGACATGCGAGTGTGGAAAAGAGCAAATCACAGACCACTTTCTACAATGTGTCCTGAGCCCTGGTGCATGCACAATGGAGGACCTTCTCACAGCGACACCAAAAGCACTCCAAGTGGCCAGCTTCTGGTCAAAGGAAGTCTAGCATAATGCCAAGTTTTTAACTTTGTATGTGTTCTTTTAAATGCACTATAACTGTACTCTCAAATCCACTTCTGTCACAAACCCAATAAATTAAAAAAAAACACCAGCCTAAATTCAAACCTGGTAGGATCCACTTCGAAGCTGACGTGCTGCCACTCCAAAGATGTAATGATGGTTCTTAACAAAGGTTCCAAAAGCTTCTGCAGATAGTTTGCCCCATAGACCTGCATGAGGAAGTTTAGCCCACTCTGTTATTCCAAATAAATGCCATTTAAAAATTATACAGCACCATGTTTCTATTTCTATCATTGTTCAGCCAATTAATAAAACAGCTGAAATATAATTAAATTAGCACAGTATGCCAACACACCAATCCCTGAGAAGGCTGCTTTGTGTATGAGCACTCCTCCACGTTTTATACAAAAAAATATATGAATATCAAGATGTGAGGAAATACAAAGTCCTGGAGAAATGTGCGTACATTTCACTCCAGGTATAAATTTTAAACAGTAATGTGTATTATTTTAATACTTTGCATGTTTCATGGCCCTTTAGTCAATCCCAATCATTACTGCTTTACCGGAAATGACTGAATCTAATAATCAGTTAACACAGAGTTTCTCAACCTGGGGGTCAGAGCCTCTGGGGGGGGGGTCGCAAGGGGGGGAATCAGAATGGTCTCTAAAGACCATCAGAAAACACAGTATTTTGTATTGGTCATGGGGGTTCTCTGTGGGAAGTTGGACATAATTCTATTGTTGGTGCGGTTCAGAATGCTTTTTGATTGTAGGGGAACTACAAATCCTAGCAACAACTCCCAAATGTCAAGGTTGATTTTCTCCAAACTTTACCAGTGTTCACTTTTGGACATATTGAGGATTTCTGCCAAGTTTGGTCCAGATCCATCATTGTCTGAGTCCACAATGCTCTCTGGATGTAGGTGAACTACAACCCCAAAACTCAAGGTCAATGCCCACCAAACCCTTCCAGTATTTTCTGTTGGTAATGGGAATTCTTTATTCCAAGTTTGGTTCCATTCCATTGTTGGTGGAGTTCAGAATGCTCTTTGATTGTAGGTGAACTACAAATCCCACCAACAACAACTCCCAAATGTCAAGGTCGATTTTCTCCAAACTCCACCAGTCTTCACATTTTGACATATAGAGGATTTGTGCCAAGTTTGGTCCTGATTTATCACTGTCTGAGTTCACAGTGCTCTCTGGATGTAGGTGAACTACAACTCCCAAACTCAAGGTCATAGAATCAAAGAGTTGGAAGAGACCTCATGGGCCATCCAGTCCAACCCTCTGCCAAGAAGCAGGAATATTGCATTCAAATCACCCCTGACAGATGGCCATCCAGCCTCTGTTTAAAAGCTTCCAAAGAAGGAGCCTCCACCACACTCCGGGGCAGAGAGTTCCACTGCTGAACGGCTCTCACAGTCAGGAAGTTCTTCTTCATGTTCAGATGGAATCTCCTCTCTTGTAGTTTGAAGCCATTGTTCCGCGTCCTAGTCTCCAGGGAAGCAGAAAACAAGCTTGCTCCCTCCTCCCTATGACTTCCTCTCACATATTTATACATGGCTATCATATCTCCTCTCAGCCTTCTCTTCTTCAGGCTAAACATGCCCAGTTCCTTAAGCCGCTCCTCATAGGGCTTGTTCTCCAGACCATTGATCATTTTAGTCGCCCTCCTCTGGACACATTCCAGCTTGTCAATATCTCTCTTGAATTGTGGTGCCCAGAATTGGACACAATATTCGAGGTGTGGTCTAACCAAAGCAGAATAGAGGGGTAGCATTACTTCCCTAGATCTAGACACTATGCTCCTATAGATGCAGGCCAAAATCCCATTGGCTTTTTCTGTTGGTCACAGTTCTGTGTGCCAAGTTTGGTTCATTTCCATTGTTGGTGGAGTTCAGAATGCTCTTTGAGTGTAGGTGAACTATAAATCCCAGCAACTACAATTCCCAAATGACAAAATCAATCTTCTCCAACCCCACCAGTATTCAAATTTGGGCGTATCGGGTGTTTGTGCCAAATTTGTTCTAGTGAATGAAAATACATCCTGTATATCAGATATTTACATTATGATTCATATCTGTAGCAAAGTTACAAAACTAAAATAATGTTAAGCTTGGGGATCACCACAACATGAGGAGCTGTATTAAGGGGTCTCGACATTAGGAAGGTTGAGAAACACTGAGTTAACACTACTGTCCCAAGAAAAGCTTGGATTTTGTGCAGAAATTATATTTTGTCGAAGGGTTTCATGGCTGGAATCACTAGGTTCTTGTAGGTTTTTTCGGGCTATAGGGCCATGTTCTAGAGGCATTTCTCCTGACGTTTTGCCTGCATCTATGGCAAGCACCTCTGAGGATGCTTGCCATAGATGCAGGCGAAACGTCAGGAGAAATGCCTCTAGAACATGGCCCTATAGCCCGAAAAAACCCACAAGAACCTAGAAATTATATTAATCTGGCGGCAGGAAAATTTTAAAGATGGGCTGCTGGTTACTGAAAGCAGAATACCTTTGAAATCTACTTTTTTCTGTTCTGTATTAAGATTCTACTCTTTCCTCTCTCGCTCTCTCTGCTGGTCTGACAGACTCTACTAAAATCCAAGTACCTTAAAACAGAAAGTCATGATTTTGCTTGCCAAGCTGTTTCCCCTGAAGAGCGTCTGCATGGAGTCAGCCAGTTCTACTTCTTTCGAAAACATGTTCCAAAGTAACTGGTAGAGCAAATGCCTGGAGTCAAAGAGGGTGACCAGGACACGGGCCAGTTCGTCCTTTCAAAACACAGACAACAAAAACATAGGACAAATCAGTATTAAACAGCAGCATCTACCAAACCAAGACAATTCCAACCAAGTTGCACTGTGTGTCTCTTCTGCCAACTTGGACGGCTTCCCATCTTAGTTAGGACTATCAATGATAACTAGACTAGATCAGAGCTTCTTAAACTGTGAGTCCTGACCCCGAATGGGGTCCCCTTAGCTCAAGGTTGGCTCCACAGTGAAAGCTTTGTGATCGTCACATAATGACTGTCTTAGATCTAAATAGATTCATTAAAAGACATCAATGCGTAATGGAGACACAAGAAAAGCCAATTTATTTCATTGAAATGCCATGAAATGATACCCTCAATAGAGATTATTTAGGTTAAGATAAAGACAAAGCCGCAAAGGACTAGATGGAAGTCAACAGACTATTTTTTAATTTTTACCGTATATACTCGAGTAGAAGCCAACCCGAATATAAGCTGAGGTACCTAATTTTACCACAAAATTAGGGTGAGAGGGTGAGAAATGCAAGCGCTATGGATAAATTTCAAAATAAAAATAGATAACCAATAAAATTACATTAATTGAGGCATCAGGAGGTGAAATGTTTTTGAATATTTACATAAGACTGTAATTTAAGATAAGACTGCCCAACTCTGATTAAATCATTATTCTAACCTTCTTTAATGTAATTATTATTATTATTTATTTAAAAGTTTTGTATACCGACCTTCTCACCTCTCTTGATAATCAATAAAACATCATAATACATATTAGAGTAAAACATTAAAACAGCAATTACAATCAATAGCTATAATGGTCAGTCATCATACTAAAATCGTTGCTCATCATCCTCCATCCATATCTCAGGGTGTTGGCTCACTCGTCGAATGCTTGTCTCCATAACCAAGTCTTCACCTGTTTCCTAAATGTCAGGATAGAAGGGGCGGTTCTGATCTCCAGTGGGAGAGAGTTCCAGAGTCGAGGGGCCACCAACGAGAAGGCCCTGTCCCTTGTCCCCACCAGACACGCTTGCGAGGCCGGTGGGACCGAGAGCAGGGCCTCTCCAGACGATCTTAATAATCTTGATGGTTCATAGGGGAGAATACGTTCGGAGAGGTAAACAGGGCCGGAGTCGTTTAGGGCTTTATAGGTTAACACCAGCACTTTGAATTGTGCTCAGAAGCTAATTGGCAGCCAGTGGAGCTGGTGTAACTGCGGAGTGGTGTGCTCCCTGTACCCAGCACCCGTTAGTAGTCTGGCTGCCGAGCGTTGGACTACTTACGTATCCTTCCAGCAATAATAAAGAGAGTAAAATAATAAATATAATAATAATAATAGAGTAAAATATTGGAAATGCAATTATAACAGTGACAATACAGTAAAATAATAAATGCAATAATAATGAAGTAAATTAATAAATGTAATTATAATAATAGAGAAAAATAATAAATGTAATAATAATAGGGTAAAACACTGTAAATGTAATAATAATAATAAATAGTGTAAAATAAATGTAATAGAAATAATGTTAATAATATAAGCAAAGTAAATAAATAAATAATAGAGAAAAATAATAAATAACCTTGACTCCAGTATAAGCCGAAGGGAGCTTTTTCAGCCTAAAAAAGTGGCTGAAAAACTAGGCTGATACTCGAGTATATACAGCAATTTTAATCCCGTTTTTTCTTTTTTCAATTTTTTTATTTCTTTTGTTACACTGCACATGTTTTCCTGCTTTCCTATCACACCATTGTTCTCCCACTTTACATGTAAAAGGGTTTTTTTCTCTTTTTTTTTCTTTCTCTCTTGTGGACCCCTAAATCCCAACCTCTACTTTCCTCTTTATTTTCAAGATCTTTAATATCATGAATAAAAATATATTTGAAAAAAAATGGCTGCTTAGGCATCTACACTAATCTGTTGTGCAGCATTGTCAAGTGTCTTCTGTAGAGGAGTCTTCAGTTATACTTCATGAAAAGGAACATTAGTCTGTTTAGCAAGCCTTGCAAATGCTGGTTTGTTTTTTATATTCGGCCCAGAGGGGGGCTGAAAAAGCCCCCCTCGGCTCATACTCGGGTGAGGGTCCTGGCGGGAAGGCGTAGGGCTCAAAGAAGGGCTCTCATTCCTCTCTCGCACAGCACGTGTGCCTTCCTCTACTCTTCTCTTGCACAGCGCACAACTTCCTCTCTCGCACAGCACGGGCTTTTCTTGTCAGAAATATTTAAAATTAACTAGGTATTTTTAATTACAAAAATGTAGTTCTATATAGGCCTCAGTGTGAGAGAGGCGTCAGTCTTAGAGAGACCTCACTGTGAGAAGGCCTCAGTGGGAGAAAGGCCTCAGTGTTAGTAGGCCTCAGTTTGAAAAGGCCCAGTGTGAGAAGCTTCAGTGAGGGGAGGCCCCAGGTTGAAGGCCTCATGTGTAAAGCTACTTTGTGAAGCTCCTGTGTAAGTTCAGTATGAGAAGAGGCTCTGTGAGAGCGAAACTGTTTATCTGCATGGGAAAGAAGCCCAGTATGGAAACAAAGAAGGAAGAATAACGAACTTTATTTGTGCTATGGAAACCTGGTTCCCCTCACATATTTATACATGGCTATCATGTCTCCTCTCAGCCTTCTCTTCTTCAGGCTAAACATGCCCAGCTCTTTAAGCCGCTCCTCATAGGGCTTGTTCTCCAGACCCTTGATCATTTTAGTCACCCTCCTCTGGACACATTCCAGCTTGTCAACATCTCCCTTCAATTGTGGTGCCCAGAATAGGACACAGTATTCCAGATGTGGTCTAACCAAGGTAGAATATGTCTCTGTATATCAATCCCCGAGGAACATCGGACAGAATTGTGGCGCTACATTCATATCTTGCTGGAGAGCTTCCCATTAACAACATGATGCCACCATCGTAACAGAACACTGAACAAAATGGATCCCTAATATGATCCAGTATGTTTCTTTGAGGGTTTTTTTTTGTCAGTAGTTTTGGCATCAAACAGCGTTCCAGATCTAGTGTAAAATAAATCAGAACCACCCAGAAGATACTAATCTATCTTCTGCTCATCCCCACTGTGCTCACAAACCTACATCATATGGGAGAGCCAAGAAGATGCTCTGTCTTACCCATTGTGAGCAAGGCACCACGTTGGCCAAAGCCATGGCAATGGGCAGCTCTCCTTGGTCACCCATCATGGTCACCAACTCCACCAATCTCTCAAACCGATCCGCCAACACCGTTTCGGCCAGAGTGTCAAACTCTGTGCCCTGCTGCAGGATTTTGGTGAGGACCTCCATGAATGTGGCTCTGGTCTGCAGATCTTTGTGATACCCCAACCCTAGCCGTAGAACACAAGAAACAGGTTTGCTGATTTGCACAGACAATGGCATTCCTAAAACTTTAGGCAGCAAACACAGTTGCCTTCCCTTTTACCTATTGAGTGCATAAGGCCGCTGTCCACATTCGCGTTCAGCAAGTTGGACATCGCCAAAACGGTGCAGTGCCGCAATGAGGCCAATCTTCGCGACATGCCACGTTTTCGGCCGCCGGTTTGTGCGCTTTCGTCTTCAATTTCACTGCAGTCGTTGAGAAGGTTCATAAACAGAGTAAAGTACCTAGAAGTAAAAAGAATTGCTTGCATATCTCAAGAAGAACCATTTTTACACAGTGCAAACAATCGGCCTCTCCCACAGACATAGAACATGATACATCTCAAAAGTTTTTAAAAACAACATTAAAAAAAAACTACAATAGCTAGCCTTGAATTTTCTACCCAATGATACAAGATAACAGAGGATCATTCTTCCCAAACTTTCAGAAATACTAATATATATACGGACTAGCCATCCCCTGCCATGCGGCCCAGTCTGTGTATATGTGTTTTCTGTGTGTATATATATTTGTGTATATGTGTATATATGTGGTTTTGCGCATGCATTGTAATGTATTTTGTTTTGGCTTTTCAAGTCTGTGGCACAGTCTGGTGATCTGAAAAATAAAGTAATGAGAAAGTATTGATTTCTAATGTATGTAATGTCTTGATGCTTTTGGGTAAACAGCATTTCTTGTTGTTTCTTTGTCAGTGTTGATGTGGAGAGTGTCTGGTTTGCCTAATCTGGACCATGCAACATAGAATTGTCCTTCTTTAGGGGTCATGTTAAAAGCTATGATACTATATCTGTGTGTATGTGAATCATCTATATCTATGTCTCTTTGTCAGAAGGGCTTTGATGACGTTTTCTTGCCTTGGTGAAGGGAGTTGGACTGGATGGCCTTAAGTATTTTCTGTTGGTCATGGGGGTTCTGTGTGGGAAGTTTGGCCCAATTCAGTCGTTGGTGGGGTTCAGAACACTCTTTGATTGAAGATGAACTATAAATCCCAGGAACTACAACTCCCAAACTCAAGGTTTATTTCCTCCAAACTCCATATGTGTTCATATTTGGGCATCTATATAAATAAAAATGTTATGTTTGTTTGTGGGATTAACAGAACTCAAAAACCAGTGGACAAATTGACACCAAATTTGGACAGCATACACCTAACAACCCAATGTATGTTTTTCACTGAAAAAAATTGATTTTGTCATTTGGGAGTTGTAGTTGCTGGGATTTATAGTGCACCTACAATCAAAGAGCATTCTGAACTCCACCATTGATGGAATTGAACAAAACGTGGCATAACAGGACTGCCATGACCAACAGAAAACTCTAGAAGGGTTTGGTGGACATTAACCTTGAGTTTGGGAGTTGTTCACCTACAACCAGAGAGCACTGTGGACTCAAACAATGAAGGATCTGGACCAAACTTGGCACAATATTCTATATGCCCAAATATGAACACAAATGGAGTTTGGGGAAAATAGATGTTAATATTGGGAGTTAATCAAAGAGCATTCTGAACCCCACGAACAACAGAATAGGGGTGAACTTCCCACACAGAACTCCCATGACCAACAGAAAATACTTAAGGTCATTCAGTCCAACTCCCATCACCAGGGCAAGAAAGTGTAATGAAAGCCCTTCTGACAAAGAGCCATTCAGCCATAGATTAATAGATAGATATATATGATTCACACACAGATATAGTATCATAGATTTGAAAGAGACCCCTAAAGAAGGACAATTATATGTTGCCTGTTCCAGAGTAGGCAAACCAGACAATCTCCATATCAATACTGACAAAGAAACAAAAGCATAAAGAGATTACATATATTTGAAACCAAAACTTTATCATTATTTTATTTTCCAGATCACCAGACTGCGCTAAGTTTGATCCAGATCCATCATTATTTGACTCCACAGTGCTCTCTGGACGTAGGTAAACTACAACTCCCAAACTCAAGGTCAATGCCCACCAAACCCTTCTAGAGTTTTCTGTTGGTCATGGCAGTCCTGTTATGCCACGTTTTGTTCAATTCCATCAATGGTGGAGTTCAGAATGCTCTTTGATTGTAGGTGCACTATAAATCCCAGCAACTACAACTCCCAAATGACAAAATCAATTTTTTTCAGTGAAAAACATACATTGGGTTGTTAGGTGTATTGTGTCCAAATTTGGTGTCAATTCCCCCAGTTGAGTTATGTTAATGCCACAAACGAACGTTACATTTTATTTATATAGATTTTAGGGATTTTTTTCAAGTTTTGAGAAAAACTATCTGTTTAGGGAAGGGACTATTTCTCTCTCCTCTCCTGATTGGTGGATTCTTATTCTGATGCATACTGGGAAATGTAGTTTAAGACAGAGCCTTTTGAATTCTTTGGCATGCCTCAGCACTATTTCCAATTTTAATGTTTACATTTGGCCTTCCCACAGTTTTAATTGTATGTTGTCTTATTCATAATGTTATATGTTTATTGTCTAATTGCTTATATAATTGCTTATATTGTTGTGATTATTGCTTGTATTGTTGTGTTGGGCTCGGCCTCATGTAAGCCACACCGGGTCCCTTGGGGGGGTAGCGGGGTACAAATAAAGTGTTGTTGTTGTTGTTGTTGTTATTATTATTATTATTATTATTATTATTATTATTATTATTATTATTATTATTATTTGGCATAGGGCTGCTCACCTTTCCAAACTACATTTCCCAAGTTTTGTGAGTTCCCATTATCCCTGTCTTCATAGAGAAGCAAGTCATAATGAAGTATTCAAGCGGAGAAGCCATTAGGGGAAACAATGGCAAAGGAGACAGGCACGTATGGTAGTTTTGGCTTTTCTTATGCTTCCTTTTAGTAACAGTTTGCATTGTTGCCTTGCACTAAATGAAACTGACTAGGAGCCTTCTGAGCTTTATAAAACGCCTACAAAAAAGTTTGGGGGTCAGTTTCGATTCTTAAGTTTTTGGAATGGGCCACGCTGATGCTTCGAAAAGACTTTTGACTTACAAAACTTCTGATTTCTTCCTATTTTCAATTTCTTACGAGTCATTTGCACACCTCTAAAGATGACACGGCATCTCTTTAAGAGGGTAACTTAAAGAGAAAGGAAACTCCTCTATTTCCTTCAGCTACATGGAGATATGAAGAAGCACACTGAGAAAAGTCCATGATTTTTTGAAGAAAATAATCATGGAAATCCTATTGCCTCCTTCTCATGGGATGCTCATAAAAACCATATAAGATATAAGAAACTATTCTAACTTTACAGAATGCTGGGGAAAAAATAAGCGGCCTTTACTTAAGGAACAACTGGGATTTGGCTTCCATCAGTTCAACTCCATCTCCTTCTTCTGGCTGCAGTGGAAGCCCCGCAAGTAGGGCCACCACCGCCTCCATGCTTGCCTGGTCCAAATCCCTAAACAAAACAAGAAACGGAATAAAACAATTAGCTCTTCTTTCACAAAGTTTCCTGATCCACTCTTTCAGTGTGGCATTCCCAGTAACCCAAAGTGGCTCTAAAATGCTTTAAAGTGTTAAGTGTTAATGCATAAATGGCATGACTTCAACATCACTTGTGGCTTTTGACTGAAACGTGAGCACTATTCTCTACAGCAGCGGTTCTCAACCTGGGGGTCGCGACCCCCAGGGGGGTCGCCTGGCCATTTTGGAGGGGTCGCGAGGCCACCTCCGTTGGCCCCGCCCCAAGGGCGCGGCCAGGCAAGGACACCCTCACGCGAGACCTGGCCTGCGCAAAGCCCGCCTCACCTGCCTCGCTCTCCGGCCATTCAGCGAGGGGGCGAGGCAGCCGAGGTGTCCTCCGTGCGGGCCTGGCGCATGCAAGGCCCATCTCGCCTGCCTCGCTCTCCCGCCATTCGGCGAGGTGGCGAGGCAGGCCTGGCGTCCTCCGTGCGGTCCTGGCCCGTGCAAAGCCCGCCTGGCCTGCGTCGCTCTCCCGCCATTCAGTGAGGGGGCGAGGCAAGCATGGCGTCCTCCATGCGGCCCTGGACCATGCAAAGCCCGCCTGGCCTGCGTCGCTCTCTCGCCATTCAGCGAGGGGGCGAGGCAGGCCTGGCGCCCTCTGTGCGGGTCTGGCCCGCGCAAAGCCCGCCTGGCCTGCCTCGCTCTTCCGCCATTCGCCGAAGGGGTGAGGCAGGCCTGCCGTCCTCCGTGCAGGCCTGGACCACACAAAGCCGGCCTGGCCTGCCTCGCTCTCCCACCATTCAGCGAGGGAGCGAGGCAGGCGAGGCGTTCTCCATGCGGGCCTGGCCTGCGCAAAGCCCGTCTCACCTACCTTGCTCTGCCGCCATTCGGCGAGGGGGCAATGCAGGCCTGGCATCCTCTGTGCGGGCTTCGCCCGCGCAAAGCTTGCCTTGCCTGTCTCGCTCTCCCGCCATCCGAGGAGCGCGGCAGAGAGAGAAACAGCTGAGACAGTGAAAGAGCGAAGAAACAGTGTGGGAGAAGAGAGCGAAGGGAAGAGAAGAGGCGGCGAGGTTGTCAGGCAAGCGAAAGAGCAAAAGAACAGTGAAAGAGGAGAGCGAAGGGGAGAGAAGAGAAGAGGCGGCGAGGCTGTGAGGAGCGAGGCAGAGAATCAGCTGTGACCGTCAGTAACGAACGGGCGAAGGAACAGAGTAGGAAAGGGAAGGGAAGAGAAGAGGCTGAGAGGAGCGAGGCAGAGAGGGGAACAGCTGAGAAGGTCAGAGTAACGAACGAGCAAAGAAACAGCATGAGAGGAGAGTGAACGGTAAAGGAAGAACACGGATGAAGGAAAAAGGAAGAGGGAGGGAGAGAGAGAAATAAGGTAACTGAAAAAAAGAAGAGGAAATGGGAAGTAGGAAGCAAGTAGACACACCAGATAAGTTAAGAGATTTGGGAAGGGAAGCATAGAAGGAAAAAAGACAGAAGCGGTGAAGGTGACGGAGGAAGCGACCTGGAGGGTAGAAAGAAAGAAAAGACTAAAGTGGTGAAGATATACCCAGGAAAAAGATAGTGGAGTAATTGTGATAGGCAACTGACCCAAAAAGATCCCCAAATAAATTTAGAAAGATAGTATTGTGGAACAACAAACAAACATAAACGTATAAATTTAATAACAATAATACCAATAACAACATAACAACATCAAGGAAAATAAAATAATTATATATATATATATATATATATATATATAATATAAACTTTAACATAGTAAATAAAAAATAACAGTAACAATAGCAAAATTACAGTCATAAAGGAGCGACGAAAATAATTTTTTGGTTGGGGGTCACCACAACATGAGGAACCATATTTAGGGGTCCCGGTGTTAGAAAGGTTGAGAACCACTGCTCTACAGCTTCCTATGTTTGTTTCTTGACTTCTTTGGCAAATTATAAAAGCCACAGTAAGTGGAAAGTCATCTGCACATCAAACCTATAAACATAGAAAGAATATACAGAACTGTACCCCTGGGCCATGTTGAGCCTCCCTTCCTCCAACTCGCACTACATAACTTTCATAATTTTTATTTTTATTTATTTACAACATTTATATTCCGCCCTTCTTACCCCGAAGGGGACTCAGGACAGATCACAGAACACACATACATGGCAAACATTCAATGCCATTAAACAGATAGGACAGACAACATATAGAGGTATTATGTTGACGGTTTTTTCCCCAACTTCCTGGAGGTTGTGCTCGATTGCAGCCACGGGGGGTGCTGTCGCTCCATCCTCTATGACAAAGAGCCTTGATGACAGACTTTCTCCTTTCTTTGATTGAAAGCATTTTCTGGTATTTCTTTTATGGTGCCATAAAACACCTCCCCCCTTAAGCAGTGCTTAATTTCTGTACTCACAACTCACTGCTGTTTTCATTTTTTAAATAGTTTTTTATTAACCTCAAAAGAAACGTTATATACATAAAAAGAGGTGGAACAATATAGTGAAAAAAAAAGTAGATGTATAAGTCTTAACAAAAACGACTTCATCCTTTTCTTTAAGCCAGATTCTTTACAGCAATTCAACTTGCTCTAGTCTTTTTTTTCTAAAAAAAAAAAAAACCTAATAATTTTTATTGCATTTCTATTCATTTCGTTACAAAAACAATCTCTATAATTCATATAATTTCACTGCTGTTTTCAACTGCTTAGGTCCGTGATGGTGAACCTATGACACGCGTGTCAACACTGACACGCATGGCTATTTTTTATGACACGCGGCCACATGCTGCCGCATACAGAGAAGTACACTTTATAAGAGCCAATCTAATTCCATCCTTAAATTTGTAAAAGGCTCTACAAATTTAACATCTGTTTGAGCATTGTTCACTCCATAACTCTGCATGGAATATACATTTTTCTTATTTAAACTATAAATATTGCAAAATTACACCCCACCCAAGTTATGCTCAGGTTTTTGGCAAATTTTGACACACCAAGCTCAAAAGTTTGCCCAACACTGGCTTAGGTGGACAGTAAGCTGGGCTGAAAGGTCGGGTGCTCACCCCTACCCGGGCTTTGAACTGCCAATCTTTTGATTGGCAAGATGGATTGCTGTTAGTGATTAATCAGCTGTGCGAAAGCCCGGCCCTTTCACAAGCATACAATTCCCAATTGCTACTGATAGCACATCCGCAACTATCTGGCTATGGGTTGCTGTGAGTTTTCCAGGATGTATGGCCATGTTCCAGAAGCAATTTCTCCTGACATTTTGTCCACATAATAATAATAATAATAATAATAATAATAATAATAATAATAATAATAATCCTTTGTTTATACCCTGCTACCATCTCCTGAAGGACTCGAACAACAATTCATCAGTAAAAAGCAACAACAACAACAATACAGATAATAAATAAACTTATAAACAAAGCAATAAACAGTAACAATAACGCCACGACGCATTAAAAACCTATGAGGGTGCCTGCCACATCTATGGCAGGCGCCCTCAGAGGTTGTGAGGTCGGCTGGCGTAAATACAGTGAGCCTGTGGTGTTTTGAAAGTCCTTTTGGCTGCGAGAAATTGTGGGATGGTATCTGTGTCTCTGCAGCGTAGAAGGAAAGTCAGGGAGCACAGTAGACGTGCTTTCCTGGTCCTCAGTTTTTCTAATCTTTGTGTGTCTTGGAACAGTTTCTCTCCACAGAGATGCTCAAAACACCACAGCCAAAAGGACTACACCAACTGACCTCACAACCGTTGAGGATGCCTGCCATAGATGTGGGCAAAACATCAGAAGAAAATGCTTCTGGAACATGGTCATACAGCCCAGAAAACTCACAGCAACCCCGTGACTACGGCCATGAAAGCCTTCCACCACTTATCTGGCCATGCTGTAATTTTACCCAAAACTGTAAAAAGTGGGCATTAGAATCCGTCTTACCTTGTCAGGCATTTCACATCCTCGTCTGTTGCCTGGTTGGATGTTCCCATAACCCAGTCTGTCAGATATTCTACCATTTTGTTCCTAAACAGACAACATTACAAACAGTTGGAAGCTAAAAGACACCACAGTGCAATAAATCCAATTTAAAAGGTGCAACAGTGTGCTAAGATCGTAAAATGTTAGATATTAAAATGTAAAAAACATAAAATCACCCTGCCACCTTGAACTGGATTTTTTCTGAACCCCAAAACCTGGTTTTGTGGCTGCATTGTCTGGCTGCAGTGGAACAGTTCTCACTCCCATTTGTAAATGTTCCTTTTAGCCAATTAGTTTTCTGGGCGCTTTTTGCTTCTGTTTTCAGATATCACCTCTGTTTTGCTTTCTTTCCTCCTCTTCCTCTTCTTTCTCCAGGCATCTTTTCACACTCGTCGCTTCCCCTCTCTTTCTCACTCCTTCCAACTACTATCATCCTGATTTCCACTCACTTACTCTTTCTCAATACTTCTAAAATGCATTTTTCTATATTATCAATAACATCATCACAGAGTTTCATCTATGCTGATGATCGTGCCATTACCGCTCAAGCAGGGAGCTTTGAAATGGTTGAACAGAAGCTCTATGAAGCTTTAGGTACTGCCTATTACAGGGAAAACCTGCTGGTTTCTAATCCATCTTGAGCTCTGAGGATGACCTGGGAAGGAATCCCATTGGAGCATTGCGGCACACCCAAATACCTGCGAGTCACTCTGGACCGTGCTCTGACTTATAAGAAGCACTGCTTGAATATCAAGCAAAAAGTGGGTGCTAGAAATAATATACAAGAGCTGACTGACACAACCCTGAGGATCACAACCAGAGACAGTGAAGACATCTGCCCTTGCACTTTGCTACTCTGCTGCTGAATACACATGCTAAATGTGGAATACATCTCACCACACTAAAACAGTGGATGTGGCTCTTAATGAGACATGCCCCATTATCACAGGATGTCTATGCCCTACACCACTGGAGCAATTGCACTATTTAGCTGGTATCGCACCACCTGACATCTGCCGGAAAGTAGCAGCCACTTTCGACTACCATGTTTGCTACAAAGAATACGGAACACTTTTGAATCCCATAAACCCGTTTTTAATTCTCTACCTGAACTTCATCTCTTGGCAGAAGGACAGATCATCCCGCCTCTCCATCATCACCTTCACAAGTTGACAGAGCTTGGTTTTGATCTGAATCGCATGAACCACATTTCCAAGGACGCGAACATATCTGTGAGGAAAGAGCATGAGCCACTAGATTAAACTCACTTCCAAAATATGAGGCATTCCTCTCTTATTATTTACTAGCTGTACCCGCCATACCTTGCTGTGGCCAACCTTCCTCTTTCTCTCCTTCTTTCTTTCTCTCCTTCCTTCCCCCTTTTCTTTCCTTTCTTCTTTCTCTCATTTCTTTCTTCTCTACCTCTTTCCTACCTTCCTTCTTTTACTCTTAGGTTCCATTCTTCCTTCTCTCTTTCCTTCCTTCCCTCCCTCTTTTTCTCCTTTCTTTCTCTCCTTCCTTCCCCCATTTCTTTCCTTTCTTCTTTCTCTCATTTCTTTCTTCTTTACCTCTTTCCTACCTTCCTTCTTTTACTCTTAGGTTCCATCCTTCCTTCTCTCTTTCCTTCCTTCCCTCCGTCTTTCCTTCTCTCCTTCCTTCCCTCTTTCTTTTCTTCCTTCCTTCTCTTTTTTCTTTCCTTCTCTAATTCCTTCCTTGTCTACCTCTTTCCTGTGTACCCCACTTTTCTTTCCCTCCCACATTCTCTCCTTCCTTTCTTCCTTTTCTACCTCTTTCTTTCCTTCATTCTCTGCTTTTTTTCTTCATTCCCTCTTTCCTTCTGTCCTTCCTTCTTTCCCTCCCTCCCTCCTTCCCCCTTTTTTTCCTTCATTCCTTCCCTCAAGACATAGTCTGGAAAAGAGTTGAGGAGCTCAACTGTTAGTAAGCTGGGCATCTGCATCTGTATTGTCATTTAGCGTTTGGGGTTTTTTAAGTCCTTTCTGCTGCTTTTGAGCGGGGGGCGGGGGGTGGGTGGGTGGTATTTATGGGTGATGGTCACTCAGTCTGTTAAGGGTGTAGTGTCCAAATTGGGTGTCAATTCGTCCAGTGGTTTTTGAGTTCTGTTAATCCCACAAACGAACTTTACATTTTCATTTATATAGATTTATTTGTTTGTTTAAAGCATTTATATTCTGCCCTTCTCACCCCAAAGGGGACTCAGGGCAGGACACAACATTCAATGGCATGTTGTGTATGCCGAAACATATCATCATCATCATCATCATCATCATCTTTAATTACTTATTAATCGCCCTCCATCCGAGATGCTCCAGGCGATTTACATTGCAGAAATTATACAGGATAAAACACATACATAAAAATATTAAAATTAACATGGGTCAAATGCTCTAGTAAAAAGCCAGGTCTTAAGTGCTAGGATAAAAGGCCCTGAGTCACGCATGGCCCTCAAATAGGGAGGCAAGGAATTCCATAAGGCAGGGGCAGAAATAGAGAAGGCCCATCTGCGTCTGGTGCTTTCCAAGTGCACTTCTCTAGGACCCGGTAAATAGAGCAAATCGCGTTGGGATGGTCGTGGCGACCTCCGATGATGGTAAAAGGAGAGACGGTCTCTAAGACACAATGGACCCTGGCCATATAAAGTTTTAAAGGTCAGGACCAGCATCTTATACAAACCACGATACTCAATTGGGAGCCAGTGGAGATGCCGCAGCACTGGTGTTATATAGCATTTCATATGCGTTTTTGTGAGTAACCTGGCTGCAGCATTCTGCACAATACGGAGCTTTCAGGTCGTAGAAATAGGAAGGCCAACATACAAGGCGTTACAATAGTCCAGCCTAGATGTGACCGTGGCATGAATGACTGTTGCCAGAGCCTCATCCGACAGGTAAGGTGCCAGTTGCCTCGCTTGTCGTAGATGGAAAAAGGCCTGTTTGCTGGCAGCAGCGACCTGAGCTTCCATCGTCAGCTGCAAATCCAAAACGACACCTAGGCTCTTAACGGTAGGCGATGGAGATAGAGCAGCGCCATCAAAGGTAGGTAACGGATGGGTCGGACCTATCGGGCGGCCATGTCACAGGATCTCAGTCTTCGCTAAATCCTGCCTAAATCTCTTCTCAAAATTCCAGCATCCCAATAGATACACAAAAGTCCTGGATCACAAGGACACAACCACCAGGGAGAGGGGATCAACTTGCCTGACCAGATTCAGCATCATGGTCTCAATGCTGGCTTGTCCAAGGTGTTCAGAGCTCCCTTCTGTATGGTTATCCAGTAGGTTCTTCATGATCGCAATGGTTTGCTCCACAAACTGCGTGTTAGTGTCATTTAACAGGACCTGCACAAAGGCAAAGAGTGCTTGATCTGATTTTCACAAATGACAGGAAGAGAAGACCTCTTTACATTAAAATACTCAGCAGTGTTACAATGAGTTTTCTGCAAGCAACAAGATTTAAGGACCTATTTGTGGCCTATTTCTCAATATTTCTCAAATTAGCTGCTTCCAGCTAAATTGGGTAAACATTCCTCAAATTAGAGCCATTAAACAAAGTGAGGAAAGTCATACTCTGGAAGAGTTAAACTCAAGCTCACACTGGAAAGAAGTGGTTTCTTCTTTCTTTCCACAATCCTAAAGTTTTCCCACCCTGGTTCGGTTATCATTGTATGGCAGGAGCATCTCGCTCACAGATAAGGAAAAGAAATCACACAGATCACACTCCTCAGGATGACAATAGCTTTGACCCACTGACTCTAACAGGCTTCGGCCTACTCGCTCTCCTCAAGAAGACACTAGCTTTGGCCCACCAGCTCTAACAGGCTTCGGCCTACTCACTCTCCTTAGGAAGACACTAGCTTTGGCCCACTGACTCTAACAGGTTTCGGCCTACTCACCTCCCTCAGGAAGACACTAGCTTTGGCCCACTGACTCTAACAGGTTTCGGCCTACTCACCTCCCTCAGGAAGACACTAGCTTTGGCCCACTGACTCTAACAGGCTTCAGCCTACTTGCTCTCCTCAGAAAGACACGAGCTTTGGCCCACTGACTCTAACAGGTTTCGGCCTACTCACCTCCCTCAGGAAGACACTAGCTTTGGCCCACTGACTCTAACAGGCTTCGGCCTACTCACTCTCCTCAGGAAGATACTAGTTTTGGCCCACTGGCTCTAACAGGCTTCGGCCTACTCACTCTCTTCAGGAAGAGACTAGTTTTGGTCCACTGACTCTAACAGGCTTCGGCTTACTCACTCTCCTCAGGAAGACACTAGCTTTTGGTCACGGGCTCTAACAGGCTTCGGCCTACTCACTCTCCTCAGAAAGACACTAGCTTTGGCCCACTTACAGGCTTCGGCCTACTCACTCTCCCCAGGAAGACACTAGCTTTGGCCCACTGACTCTAACAGGTTTCGGCCTACTCACTCTTTTAGTACTCACACTTTTGTAATCAAAAATACCCAATTAATTTTTAATATTTTTGACATATCTCAGTCATGAGTCAACTTTGGTCTCCAGGTGTTTTGGACTTCAATGCCCATAATTCCTAACAGCCTACCAGCTGTCAGGAATTGTGGGAGTTGAAGTCCAAAACACCTGGAGGGCTGAAGTTCACCCATGCCCGATTTATCCAAACACTGAGCCAACTAAGGGGTACAACACTTTCCTTCCATGTATCACCTTCTGTTACATGACAACGAAGCCTTCTAAGCTCATCCCACTATACTACTCTTAAAACAGAATCCAACAAAAACTGTTTTACCTGCCCTTGAGAGTCAAAGAACTTGCTGATGGTGTTCTTCAACTTGTTGAAGAGTGTTGGATAGAGGGCCGGGCTCAGCTCAAGTCCCATGAGGTCTTTGATGTTGGTCCGTATCTGCAGGCCCACTTTCTCATGGGTACAGACCATTAAGGACAGCAAGCGGTCAATGAACTTGCTGACGGGTGTCTCCACGTTGCCGTCGGTCGACACCATGGATATCATGGAGCCTTTGCGCTCGCTCACAGGGCCCATGGGTGGGCTGTAGGATGGGAACGGCACGCTGCCCCGGTACTGAAGGCACACCCCTCCAAGGGCGCAGAGGAAGCCTGTCATGTTGATCCACTCTTGCAGGGAATCCGTGTCGGAGAGATCTATGGAGCCTCCCCCACTGACGTGGGACATCCGCCTCTTCACAATGGTCTTGTGAAGGCTTTCAGCAACCTTGAAGGAAGAAAGAGGGGGCTGTAATTATGCTGAATTCAGAACCGTTGCAAACATCAGAGAGCTTTAAAAAGTTTCTGTTCTGAACCATCGGAATCCTTCAAGTAGCAGGGCAGCAGGCTATCCTGGATGGAGGGTATCCAAATCAATTTTAGACCTAAAAAAGAAGCAAAGAAAGATGCCCTGATACCATGTAACAGTCTCCACTTTACCTGGCCATCTTCCATTTTAGTCTTTGGATAGTTGAGGATGAGTTTCGTCGCTGCTTCCCATTTTAAATGTGTATCTTCCCAAGCCTGAAATGCAACAAAAGAAAACATTATTCAAAACATAAAGAGACCATTAAAGACCTATCTCTTCTGGTAGGCCAACCCAGTTATTTCTAACTATGGATTTAATATTGTCTTCTGTTGACTGTATTTTAATCTTTCTTCTGTGTATTTTAATGTATGAATTTTAATATGTTTCATAATGATGTGTTTATAACTGTTGTTAACCCAACCCTCCTATATGCCTGCGAAATGTGGACTGTCTACAGACGTCGCATGTAATGTCTGGAACGATTCCATCAGCACTGCCTCCAGGAAATCCTGCAAATCTCTTGGGAAGACAAGCGGACAAATGTCAGCGAGCTAGAAGAAGCAAAGACCACCAGCACTGAAGCAATGGTTCTCCGCCATCAACTCTGCTGGACTGGCCACATTGTCTGGATGCTTGACCACCGTCTCCCAAATCAGTTGCTCTACTCTGAACTCAAGAACGAAAAACGGAATGTTGCTGGACAAGAAAAGAGATTTCATGATGGGCTCAAACCAACCTTAAAAACTCTGGCATAGACACCGAGAATTGGGAAGCCCTGGCCTGTAAGCGCTCCAGTTGGAGGTCAGCTGTGACCAGCAGTGCTGCAGAATTTGAAGCGGCACAAAAGGAGGGCGAAAGAGAGAAACGTGCCAAAAGGAAGGCTTGTCAAGCCAACCCCGACCGGGACCGCCTTCCACCTGGAAACCAATGCCCTCACTGTGGGAGACGATGCAGGTCAAGAATAGGGCTCCACAGTCACCTACGGACCCACCCTGGAAGATTATCCTACTCGGACAACGAGGGATCGCCTTAGTAAGTAAAGTAGGTAAGTAACTGTTGTGCCCTGCCTTGACCCACGAAGAGAGGTGAGTAAAAAAAGTATTGCTGGTATTATTATTATTATTATTATTATTGACACAAAAGCACAGTATGTCACAGCAAACAAGATCTATATGCTAGATTTCGTATCAAAAAAATCACAAGTCGAACCCTTCTCAAGCATCTAGAACTGTTTTTCTAAAACTTCCTGCCTTTCTCCATTATCCAGAGGATATTGGCAATTGGGTCTCTTGTTTCTCTGCATTTTCTAAACCCAGCTTGTACATCTGGGAACTCTCTCTCCATGTATCGCTGGAGTTTTCCTTACAGGATCTTGAGCATTACCTTACTGGCATGTGAAATAAGTGTCACTGTACAAAGGTTTGAGCATTCTTTAGCATCTCCCTTTTTTGGTATGGTGATGGAAATATTACTGCCAACTACTAAAAGTGAATAGTTGTGTAAGGGGGAGCAAGGGAAGAACATACCTCAGTGTTACCTGATGTTGGGTGTTCAATTCGCCTCAGCAGTGCCATCACTCTTTTCTGGAGCGCAGCTCTTCCTAAAGAAGGGCAGTCCAAAACAAGATTTTTCAATTTAAGGGGTTACAGTGAGCTACAAATCCCAATACATAAACTTTCAAGAGCACTATTAAACAACTGAGTGAGTCTTACCTGTTGACATCACATTGCTCACAGACGCAAACTCCATAAAGGTGTTATAGTTAGGCAGGAAGTTGTGGACTGATACCTCGTCGACTCCACACCGGATGTCCGCTTCCTCACAAAGGTGTCGGAAGCAAGACATGGCCACCAGAACGGCCTCCGCATCGGGGCTCCAGAGAGACATGTAAAGGGCCACCTCCAGCTTGGTCTGGGCCTGGCGACAAATCTGTGTCCCACTGCAACCTACAGTGCTCTCCTTAGGAGACAGAACATAGGCAGACTAAATGTTATTATTAACTCCACTGGCTACCGATCTGCTACCGGGCTGAATTCAAAGTGCTGGCGTTGGCCTTTAAAGCCCTAAACGGTTCCGGCCCAAGCTACCTATCCGACCGCATCTCTGCCTATGAACCCACCAGGACTTTGAGATCTTCCGGGGAGACCCTGCTCTCGATCCCGCCTGCTTCTCAAGCTCGGCTGGCGGGGACGAGAGATAGGGCCTTCTCGGTGGTGGCTCCTTGGCTGTGGAACACCCTTCCTACGGACATTAGATTAGCACCATCTCTAATGGTATTCTGCAAAAAAGTGAAGACCTGGCTGTTTGAGCAGGCGTTCGAATAATTAGTGCAATGATTGGTTAATGAACACTGGAATGGAACAATGGATGACGAATCTGGAACATGTTTTTGATGACGAGACGACAGTGAATGGGTATTGTAGTAACTGTTTATTAATTGTGTAATGTGTTAGGTTGTTAACTGTTTCTATACTGTAGCACTGAATTTTTGCTGTTCGTATTTGTTGTGAACCGCTGTGAGTCGCCTTCGGGCTGAGAACAGTGCTACATAAGTAAGGTAAATAATAAATAATAATAATAAATAATAATTATCCACATCAGCATCCGCTTTTTAAAGGGGGAAATTCAATACACCAGAGTCACATTCACTTACAGAGTAAAAATCCATGCAAACTACAATTACGTTACTTATCGCACAGTTGTGTCATGTACCCCTTTCCTTCACAGAAATAATAATAATAATCTATATAAATAAAAATGTAATGTTCATTTGTGGGATTAACATAACTCAAAAACCACTGGGCAAATTGACAACGAATTTGGACACAATACATCTATCATGCCAATAAGTGACCATCGCTCATAAAATCACTAGAAAACACAGCAGTAGATCCTTTAAAAGCCAAAAAAATTAAAAAATACATTACAGTGCATGCGCAAAACCACTTATATACACATATATGCAAATATATACACACACATAACACATATACACATACTGGCCACAACAACGTGTGGCAGGAGGTGGCTAGTAACAGTAATAATAATAATAATCATCATCATCATCTTTATTTATACCCTGCCACCATCTCCCCACAAAGGGAACTTGGAGCAGCCCAATGATTGAATCATAGAATCATAGAGTTGGAAAAGACCTCATGGGCCATCCAGTCCAACCCCATTCCACCAAGAAGCAGGAATATTGCATTCAAATCACCCCTGACAGATGGCCATCTGGCCTCTGTTTAGAAGCTTCCAAAGGAGCCTCCACCACTGCTGAACAGCTCTCACAGTCAGGAAGTTCTTCCTAATGTTCAGGTGGAATCTTCTTTCTTGCAGTTTGAAGCCACTGCTCCATTGTGTCCTAGTCTCCAGGGCAGCAGAAAACAAGCTTGCTCCCTCCTCCCTGTGGCTTCCTCTCACATATTTATACATGGTTATCATGTCTCCTCTCAGCCTTCTCTTCTTCAGGCTAAACATGCCCAGCTCTTTAAGCCGCTGTTCATAGGGCTTGTTCTCCAGACCCTTGATAATTTGAGTCACCCTCCGCTGGACACATTCCAGATTGTCAATATCTCTCTTTAATTGTGGTGCCCAGAATTGGACACAGTATTCCAGGTGTGGTCTAACCAAGGCAGAATAGAGCATCGGGAGCATGACTTCCCTGAATCAAGACACTAGACTCCTATTGATGCAGGCCAAAATCCCATTGGCTTTTTTTGCCACCGCATCACATTGTTGGCTCATGTTGTCCACGAGGACTCCCAAGATCTTTTTTGCACGTACTGCTCTCGAGCCAGGCATCCCCCATTCTGTATCTTTGCATTTCGTTTTTCCTGCCAAAGTGGAGTATCTTGCATTTGTCCCTGCTGAACTTCATTTTGTTAGTTTTGGCACATCTCACTAATCTGTCAAGATCGTTTTGAATCCTGCTCCTGTCCTCAGGACAGATACATTACAACAAAAAAAACTGTAAACAACAAAAATAACATCACAATAAATAAGCCATTCAAGTAAAATAAACAGTGCAAAATAACATAATGGAAAATCAAAAACAGTAGGCGGGCCAAATGCTCAACATAAAATGATAAAACCCTGGATGAGATAGCAATGAAAAAGGTATATTTGTGGGGGAGGAGCTCACAGGGGACGGAGCAGTGGAATTAGACTTTCAAAAAGGTGGAGGGGAAGTGCAATATGAGGAAAACACTATAAGTGAAACAACAGGAATGGAATATATGGCCACTCTCCAAAGTTTGCAGAAATGGAAAAAAACCACCAGGCATAAGACCTGATCTTTTATGTAGCAAACTGGTTGATTTATACTGTACCCCATTATTATTTTAACTTTGTTCTAGTTACTATAATATTCCAAACTACCCCACATCTGGGGAAAATTGTTAATCTATTCACTTAGTAATTTGTTGGATTTCCTCCACACTCCACAATGGGGTAGACAGTAAATAAAAAACAACACTCAAAAACAGGGAATTCCAGATTGGAAACAATCATGGCCAGCTAACACTTCCCAACAAAACATTTCCCCAGGCAGGAAGCAGTCAGACTTTGAAGCTGCAAGGCTATTCAATGCTAATCAAGGTGGCCAACTGCAACATTCACATTTGCTTCAAGCAAACAAACAAGAGTTCTTTCTGCGTAGTTGAAGGCTTTCATGGCCGGAATCACTGGGTTGTTGTAGGTTTTTTCGGGCTATATGGCCATGTTCTAGCGGCATTCTCTCCTGATGTTTCGCCTGCATCTATGGCAAGCATCCTCAGGGGTAGAGAGTTCTTTCTCTCATCCTGGACATTCTACAGATAGATAAACCTCACTTGCTTAATTTCCAACAGCCCTCACAACCTCTGTGGATATCTCTCGTAGATGTGGGCAAAATGTCAGGAGATAATGCTTCTGGAAGATGGCAAGAAAGCCCAGAAAACTCACAGCAACCCAGTGATTCCAGTCATGAAAGCCTTCGACAACACATAGGCCATTATAGTTCATAGGTTAGAGTTAGGGGTTTGTGATAACAACTTCTTTCTCTTATTTGGTCTCAAGGATGCTACAAAAGCCCTTTGCATACTGATATTCCAGACAAAAATGGCTGTGTTTTTTAATTCAGTCACATTAAGTCCTGAACATCTCAACGACAACTCTGCTTGCTTTGATTGATCTAAAGATCTGAAATGAGAAGGCTCAATACCAAGCTGAGATCCCAGTTTGATATGTGCTCTCCAATACTTAAGTCTAAGCAATGCCCCAGATGGCATCGTTCACTATGGTCTTACTCACCATGCAGAAGCTGCCTTTGCCTTTCCTGAGTGCGGTTCCTTGGATACAACGCATCATCTCTTCGTGATCAAGAGAAATCTGACCAGCTCCTCCTCCAGAGACATCGCATCCGACCCCGTAAAGGAAGAGAAAGGGGCAGGAGCTCCTATCTGATTGCTACAGAGAAGCAAGAAAAAATAATAATTTAAGTATCACCCAACTGTTCTAATTTTTAAAAAGGGCTGAAAGAAAAATGGCGCATTTCTGAAAAAGGACATAAAAATACTTTCGGCAGGACTAAAAGCAATGTATACATTTGAGACAGAACAGCTGAGGAGAGGAATCTACTACCCAATTCAGAGGACATTTTGGAATAAATTGGCTCAAAGAGTTCGCTCATGCTTCTGAACCAACTCATCATATTGTGGCTGTAGGTGAGACAGTAGTCTGGAAGCAATACAGCGAGGAAAGGAAGAAATAAGAGCTATTAGTAGAGATCCGTACCTTCCTGGATGGTGAGGGAATTCAGTTTGTAATGTGAGAAAACTTAATAATAATAATAATAATAATAATAATAATAATAATAATAATAATACGAGGATTTAAAAATCGAACTACAAAGACGCTGGTACAAGCCAGTAAAGATGGTCTCAGTGGTGATCGGCACACTGGGTGCAGTGCCTAAAGATCTTGGCCTGCACTTAAACACAATTGGTGCTAAGAAAATTACCATCTGTCAGCTGCAAAAGGCCTACTGGGATCTGCATGCATTATTCGCCAATACATCACACTTGGAAAGTGTCTGACATGTGACCCAATGCAACTGCCAGCATAGTGATCTTGTTTGCTGTGTACTAATCTTGTGTATCTAATTATTATTATTATTATTATTATTATTATTATTATTATTATTATTATTTTACTGACACAAAAACACAGTATGTCACAGCAAATGAGATCTCTATGCTGGATTTCGTATCACATAATCACAAGTCGAACACTTCCCAAGCGTCTAGGACTGTGTAATGTATTTTCGAATGATGCGTGCAGATCCAAGTAAGGTGGCCTTTTGCAGTTGACAGATCGTGATTTTGTCAATGTTTATTGTTTCCAAATGCCGTCTGAGGACTACTGGGACCACCTGTACTGGTTTATGCCAGAGCCTTTGCAATTATTATTATTATTATTATTAATATTAATATTCTGCCCTCTCTCTCCAAGTGGACTCAGGGAGGATTACAACAAAAGATGGCAAACATTCAGTGCCAGATCCAATACATAAATAGAAACATAAAGCAATCAGTTAATCTACATCTAATGCAAGCAAATCCTGTTTGAAAGGGTCATTCTTCCAACTCTATGATTCTATGATTTCCTGGGCCATGAAAGCATGCACTTACTTTGTTTTTCAGGAGAAATTTGTTCCTGCAGATCAGAATCTCTCGCAGCCACTTGAGGATTTCTGTGCTGCTCAGAATCTGATTACTTGTGAGTCTCTTGCATATACAGAACAGCATTTGAGAACTGCAGGAACATGAAATTAGGAAAAAATACTCTCGTTAGCATTTATCAACCTTTTTCATACCTTGAGTAGCAATATTTGAAGTAAGCATTACAATAATTATGACAAAAGATGCAGAAGTATTTCATCTCTTCATAGGACCCCACTGAAGGATAGGGTGCTTACCTGTAACCATGTTTCTTCAAGTAGTCATCTGTGAAATTCACACCTGATGTACGTGATGGCCTGGATTGGAGCCTCAGTTCCTTTTTCTCTCTCTCTTTCTCTCATTGTATTTAAAGAACGGTTTTTCATCTAGTTTAGGGGTTCTCAAACTACTTTCCGAGGGCCGGATACAGCCCTCCAAGGTCATTTACCTGGCCTTTGCTCAGGGTTAACCTAAGTCTGAAATGACTTGGAAGCATACAACAACAACACCTTGGGAAGCCTGATCTGGCCACAGTGGTCCACACTCTTGTTACATCCCGAATAGATTACTGCAATGCACTCTACGTGGGGTTGCCTTTGAAAACTGTTTGGAAACTTCAGTTAGTTCAGCAGGCAGCAGCTAGATTAATCACCGGAGCGTCATACAGGGAACATACCACCCCTCTATTGTGTCAGTTCCAATTGCTGCCGATCCAGTTCCGAGCACAATTCAAAGTGCTGGTTTTGACCTATAAAGCCCTATACGGCTCCGGCCCAGCGTACCTGTCGGAACGTATCTCCTTCTATGTCCCACCTCGGAGTTTAAGATCTTCTGGGGAGGCCCTGCTCTCGGCCCCGCCTCTATCACAAGTGAGGCTGGTGGGGACGAGGGACAGGGCCTTCTCAGTGGTGGCCCCTCATCTGTGGAACTCACTCCCCGGGGAAATTAGGTCATCAACATCCCTCCTCTCCTTCAGAAGGAAGCTGAAAACATGGATATGGGACCAGGCCTTTGGGTAATCTGGCAGACTGACAATGTAATGATGACTAGAATTTGGAAAGGACTATGGTAATGCTGAATGGACTTACGGATTTTAGAACTCGGTGAACGTTGGCCACTAGATTGGCTTTTTAGTTGTTCTTGTATTAATTGAATGTTTTTCATTATTGTGGTTATTGTTGTTATGTATTTTATCTGTTGAATTTTTGGCATCGAATTGTGCCGGTTGTAAGCCGCCCTGAGTCCCCCCCTAGTGGGTTGAGAAGGGCAAGGTAGAAGTGCCGAAATAAATAAATAAATAAATAAACAACCCTATCTCATCAGCCAAAAGCAGGCCCATACTTCCCACTGAAATACTAACAAGTTCATATTTGTTAAAATTGTTCTCCATTTTAATTACTGTATTGTTTTAAGTGTTTTTTGATCTACAAAAAAGATATGTACCGTCTGATATGCAGGATGGGGGGATTGATTTTGTCATTTGGGAGTTGTAGTTGCTGGGATTTATAGTTCAACTACAATCAAAGAGCATTCTGAACTTCACCAACAATGGAATTGAACTAAACTTGGCACACAGAATTCTCATGACCAAGGAAATACTGGAAGGGTTTGGTGAGCACTGATCTTGAGTTTTGGAGTTGTAGTTTACCTACATACAGAGAGCACTGTGGGCTCCAGCAATGATGGATCTGAACCAAATTTGGCACGAATACTCAATATGCCTAAATACTCAATATGCCCAAATGCTGAATAGACCTTGACATTTGGGAGTCGTAGTTGCTGGGATTTAAAGTTCACCTATAATCAAAGAGCATTCTGAATCCCACCAATGATAGAATTGCGCCAAACTTCCCACATAGAACCCCCATGACAAACAGAAAATACTGTGTTTTCTGATGGTCTTTGGTGACCATCTAACACCCCCTCGCAACTCCCCCAGGTGTCCCAACCCCCAGGTTAAGAAATGCTAGCACAGAAGGAATATGTTTTTTGTATTAAAAATCCATGCTTTTCTAATTTCTAGCTATGATACAGATCTGGAAAGCGTCCAGTTTACAAACTCGAGATAAAACGGTATATGTTTACCTGATCTCCCAAAAGGTTTCAATGGGCGCATCGGGATTCCATAAATCAATGCTGTCTAACTGATGAAGCACAAGCAGGGCCTGAACATATAAACACAAAGGAGCCCCTCAATACATATAAGACCAGCAAAGAAATACTCAGAATAAAATGAGGCACAAATTAGATTCTACTACGTTCTCAGTTCTATTTTTGCCACTTCGAGCCATATTTTCCCATTCGGAGCCATAATACTTTTGAATCGAGCACATATAATGAAATCCCGAAGCTCAGACAAAGGGACAAAATTATGACGATAGCACGGCAAACCATATTTTATTCAGCCCCCAGTGACACAATGGGTTAAACCCTTGTATCAGCATGAATGCTGACCAAAAGGTCAGCGGTTTGAATCTGGGGACTGGGGTGAGCTCCAGTTTATCAGCTCCAGCTTCTCCTGCGGGGATATGAGAAAAACCTCCTACAGGATGGTAAAACATCCAGGTGCCCCCTGGACAACATCCTTGCAGACGGCCAATTCTCTCACACCAGAAGCGACTTGCAATTTCTCAAGTCACTCTGGAAACAAAGGAAAATCCAGTCCTGCTTTTAAAAAGTAGAGTGATGTGTCACAGCCTTAAAACTGGCTGGCATCAGCTTTAGCACATGGCTTTGATGTCGAATTTCGAACTCTGAAAAAGGGGGAGGCTGTGTGAGGCTTCTCTTGCTTATTCCAAGTAATGGGCCGGGATGTAAACACAAAGCACGCAGATTCCTTACCTCCATGGCTTCTTGAGCTATTTCCGGCATGCTAGACTGGGGCACCAACTGGACAAGGCCTGTGATGAGTTCAGCCGTGCTCCCCTGTGTCTCGGGCCCCTGTTTCTTTGGATTCTGCATATGAAGATAAGGATTTGTGAGCTTATGTGGGGTCCTGCAGGGCTCTATTTTGTCCCCTATGCTCTTTAACATCTACATGAAACTGCTGGGTGAAGTCATCTGGAGTTTTGGAGTTAACCTGACATGATGTGAGTTGTAGTTCACCCACAACCTTATGCATTTCACACAATTAAAAAATTGAGTTTTTCAAATAACCCAGGCAATGCTATTTGATAAATAAATTTGTAAATAAATAAACAATAGTGAAAAAAACAACAACAGTGCACATAGATATGGGAAAGATTTTCACTTACGCAGAGCAAGAGTTTGGGGTCCGCATGGATGAGTTTGACCATGGACAACAACAAGACCTTATAATGTCTTGTTTCCACGTCTGTAGGCTTTTCTTTAAATTTAAGGCTTGACATTTTCTCTTTAAATGTAAGACTCTAGAGGAGAAAAAAACATCACTGTCAACAAGGATCCGCAGTAGCTATTTAACCGCTAGCTACAGAAAAAACTTGGTGATTGGAAGGTCGGCAGTTTGAAGCTGCGGGTTGGGGTGAGCTCCTGCTGTTAGCCCTAGCTTCTGCCAATCTAGCAGTTCGAAAACATGTAAAATTAGTAGATCAATAGGTACCGCCTATTTTCTTTTAAGCATGTCTCATGCTCCAATCTCTTGAAGTCAATTTATTTTCAATAAAAATAATTGGGGGGAAAAATAGGTACCGCCTCGGCAGGAAGATAAAAGTCACCCATGCAGCCATGCCAGCAACACGACCAGGAGGTTCTATGGACAACAGGCTTCTTGACACGGAAAAATGAAACAAGAGCACTTCCCCATGGCCAGAGCTGAGCATCGTCTCCAGACACTAGAGACGGAAAGGGAAATCTTTGCCTTTGTTTCTGTACTGTATGTCACTGTTCAATGTATAAAAGGCACTGAATGTTTGCCTATACACTGTACACTGTAATCCAGTCTGTGTCTCCTCGAGCAGATGAAGAGGAATATAAATAAAGTTTTAATTATTTTTTAAAAAATCTATATATATATATAAATGCTCTGTGCATAATGAGTTCCTTAAAAACAAGAGAACCAATGAACGAAATCACACCAAATTTGGCAACAAAACGTCTCACAACACAAGGAGTGACCATCACTCAAAAATTATGATTTTTGTCATTTGGGAATTGTAGTTGCTGGGATTTATAGCTCACCTACAATCAAAGAGCATTCTGAATGCCACCAATGATGGAATTGAACAAAACTTGGCACACAGGACTCCCTGACCAACAGAAAACACTAGAAGGGTTTGGTGGGCATTGACCTTGGGTTTTGGAGTTGTAGTTCACCTACATCCAGTGAGCACGGTGGACTCAAACAATGATGGATCTGGACCAAACTTGGCACGAATACGCCATATGTCCAAATATAAACACAGATGGAGTTTTGGGGAAATAGACCTTGACATTTGGGAGTTGTAGTTACTAGGATTTATAGTTCACCTATAATCAAGGAGCATTCTGAACCCCACCACTGACAGAATTGCGGCAAACTTCCCATACTGAACTCTCATAACCAACAGAAAATACTGGGTTTTCTGGTGGTTTTTGGCGACCCTTCTGACACCCCCTCACAACCCCCCTCAGGGGTCCCAACCCCCAGGTTGAGAAATGCTTACTTAAGGCCATCCAGTTCAACTCCCTTCACCAGAGCAAGAAAACCTCCTGACAAAGAGCCATCCAGCCATAGATATAAATATATATGATTCACACACACACACACACACACACACACACATTTATGACAGAGATAGTACCATAGATTTGAAAGGGACCTCTAAAGAAGGACAATAATATGTTGCATGTTCCAGAGTAGGCAAACCAGACAATCTCCACATCAACACTGACAAAGAAACAGCGAGAAATACTGTTTCTTTACCCACAAGCATAAAGAAATTACATATATTAGAAACAAACACTTTCTCATTACTTTATTTCTCAGACCAGCAGACTGGGCCACAGCAATGCATGGCAGGGGACTGCTAGTCTATTTATATAAATAATATCCATGGGACAAACCAGGGTAAAGTATAACCTGCATAACCCATATCTGCTCCATGTTTTCTTTATTAGCTGCCAGAGCATCCTGAGTTGTCATTTTAATGGATCAGAAGTCATTGCCATAAAATGCCAAAAGGGGCAAAACATGGTGAAGGAACAAATAGGAAAAACAGCTCCCAAAGCAAAGGCATGGAAAATACAAAACTGAAGTTGCTTCCCAGTTCTTGGACCATCTGAAGAAAGTTAGGGTCCTTCCAATCAGGCCCTTTATCCCACGCTCTGATCCCAGGTTGTCTGTTTATCCCAGATTATCTGGCAGTGTGGACTCATATAATCCAGTTTGTTGTTGTTCATTCGTTCAGTCGTCTCCGACTCTTCGTGACCTCATGGACCAGCCCACGCCAGAGCTCCCTGTCGGCCGTCACCACCCCCAGCTCCTTCAAGGTCAGTCCAGTCACTTCAAGGATGCCATCCATCCATCTTGCCCTTGGTCGGCCCCTCTTCCTTTTGCCTTCCACTTTCCCCAGCATAATTGTCTTCTCTAGGCTTTGCTCTCTCCTCATGATGTGGCCAAAGTACTTCAACTTTGTCTCTAGTATCTTTCCCTCCAATGAGCAGTCGGGCTTTATTTCCTGGAGGATGGACTGGTTGGATCTTCTCGCAGTCCAAGGCACTCTCAGCACTTTCCTCCCACACCACAGCTCAAAAGCATCGATCTTCCTTCGCTCAGCCTTCCCTAAGGTCCAGCTCTCACATCCGTAGGTTACTACAAGGAATACCATGGCTTTGACTAGGCGGATCTTTGTTGCCAGTCTGATGTCTCTACTCTTTACTATTTTATCGAGATTGGACATTGCTCTCCTCCCAAGAAGTAAGCGTCTTCTGATTTCCTGGCCACAGTCTGCATCTGCAGTAATCTTTGCACCTAGAAATACAAAGTCTGTCACTGCCTCCACGTTTTCTCCCTCTATTTCCCAGTTGTCAATCATTCTTGTTGCCATAATCTTGGTTTTTTGATGTTTAGCTGCAACCCAGCTTTTGCACTTTCTTCTTTCACCTTGATTAGAAGGCTCCTCAGCTCCTCCTCGCTTTCGGCCATCAGAGTGGTGTCATCTGCATATCTGAGGTTGTTAATGTTTCTTCCAGCAATTTTCACCCCAGCTTTGCATTCATCAAGCCCCGCACATCCTCGCATGGTGTGTTCTGCATACAAGTTAAAAAGGTTGGGTGAGAGGATGCAGCCTTGCCGTACGCCTTTCCCAATCTTGAACCAGTCTGTTGTTCCATGGTCAGTTCTGACTGTTGCTACTTGGTCCTTGTACAGATTCCTCAGGAGAGAGACAAGGTGGCTTGGGATGCCCATCCCACCAAGAACTTGCCACAATTTATTATGATCCACACAGTCAAAGGCTTTAGAATAGTCAATGAAGCAGAAATAGATGTTTTTCTGAAACTCCCTGCCTTTGTCCATTATCCAGCAGATATTGGCAATCTGGTCTCTCGTTCCTCTGCCTTTTCTGAACCCAGCTTGAACATCTGGCAACTCTCTCTTCATGTATTGCTGGAGTCTTCCTTGCAGGATCTTGAGCATGACCTTACTGGCATGAGAAATAAGGGCCACTGTACGGAAGTTGGAGCAGTCTTTCACATTTCCCTTTTTTGGTATGGGGATATAAGTTGATTTTTTCCAGTCTGATGGCCATTCTTGTGTTTTCCATATTTGCTGGCATATGGCATGCATCACCTTGATAGCATCATCTTTTAAGATTTTAAACAGTTCGGCTGGGATCCCGTCGTCTCCTGCTGCCTTGTTGTTAGCAATGCTTCGTATCTTAATCCAGTTTAAAGCAACAAAAAAACTGGGATCAGATCATGGGATATAGGGCCTCAAGATTAATGATGACAGCTAATTTATTTATCAAAACAAAGATGGCTGATACGTTGCAACAAGGAACAGATTTGTTTTATATTTTAATAAAAACACCTGTTGTATTTCTGAGAACAGAATGGCAGAAAATAAAACCAATTAAGGAATGTGGCCTGGGGAAGAATAGAAGAAAATAAAACTCCTCATATTGCCCAGTCTTGTGAGACCCTAGTGCCAGGTAATTCTCCTATCATGCCAGTTTTAATGACAGAAAACTTCCCAGAAAATTTGAAAAAAAGAACTTGAAGTAGAACTTAATGGAAGAGGTTTAATGAAAGTAAAAGACTGGGATCTGAAAATGGTAAATATGGAAAGGATAGAACTGCAATAAATGAAAGAGAAGGAGCAGCGACCCACCGGCGTCATGCGAATTGGAGTGTGCACACCGGAACCCTGAAGAGCTTTGTGGAGGGTTTCGCTGAACATGCTGCGGAGTTCCACAGAATGACAATAGACGGCATCAATCTTGGGCCACCACTCCAATGCAGACTGAAAGGAAGATTGGGATCAAAATATAATGAGTTAAGGGAAAATTTAGGGAAGCATGTCATCCAGTAGCCTAAATCTTACAGATTACAACATCTCAATAAGTTCTTATTGTGTTGTCGAAGGCTTTCATGGTCGGAATCACTGCACTGCTGTGAGTTTTCTAGGCTGTTTGGCCACGTTCCAGGAGCATTCTCTTCTGATGTTTTGGCCACATCTATGGCAGGCATCTTCAGAGATTGTGTGGTCTGTTGGAAACTAGGCAACTGGGATTTATATATCTGTGGAATTATGTCCAGGATGGGAGAAAGAACTCCTGTCTATTTAAGAAAAGTGTGAATGTTGCAATCAATAACAATAATGATGATGATGATGATGATTATTATTATTATTTAGAACTTTTATATCCCGGTCTTCTCAACCTCCGCAGAGGGACTCAGGCCGGCTAACAACAGAAAATTCAACAAACACTTGCAAATGTATGTTTACTTAAATAAAATAAAAATAAAATTTAAAAAAAAAGCAAATAAAATAAAATTCATACACAAATAAACTAATAACATAATAACATCATAATACATTAAAATACAAACAGAATACAATAAATACATTACTGTATTAAATACATTAAAATACAAACATAATACGTTAAAATACAAACATAAAGCCAAATCGTCAAGATAAAATCACGTTCATCACAATCCGCCAGTGTGGTCAGTAGTTATTAGGTTATTGCTGAACTCCCCAATCATTCTGAGAATGCTATGTCCCAAAGCCAGGATTTCACTAGCTTTCCGAAAGTCAGGAGGGAAGGGGCAGATCTAATCTCCATTGGGAGAGAGTTCCACAGCCAAGGGGCCACCACAGAGAAGGCCCTGTCTCTCGTCCCCACCAGACGCGATTGCGAGGGTGGTGGGACCGAGAGCAGGGCTCCTCCAGAAGATCTTAACAACCTTGATGGTTCGTAGGAGAGAATCCGTTCAGACAGGTAATAATAATAATAACAATAATAATAAACTTTATTTATACCCCGCCACCATCTCCCCGATGGGGACTCGGGGCGGCTTACACGGGGCCAAGCACGAACAGCATATTACATCAAGATAAAACCAAAATATAATCAATGGCCTTGATTATCATTGAATAGCCTTGCAGCTTCAAAGCCTGGCTGTCTCCTGCCAGGGGATTTCTTTGTTGGGAGGTGTTAGCTGGCCCTGATTGTTCTTATTCATCTCCCTTTTAAAAACATCCAAGAAGCTGAAGTAAGAGCAAACTGTGCTCAAACCACCTTCTGATGGTCATTTTGTTTATTACGAAAATGTTAACGGCTAGAACTCACCCACCATCACCTGTATCACTATAATTTTGTGAAATTTAAAGAAGCATAAATAACTTACGTTTGTGATTATACGGTGGAGTGAATTTACCAGGACGTAATGAAACGTTGGTGGGGAATTCTGTGCCAAGCAGGTCTATGAAAGAGGAAGTAGGAAATATTTTAGAGGGTTTTCTTCCACAGAGAGCTTCTGCACAAGGTCCATCAAAGTCGTTGTGGTTCTTGTTACATGCCTTCAAGTTGACAGTGATTTATGAAGAGCCTATCACAGGGAGCGTGCTTGCTCCACCAATGTTTAACATTCACACAAATGATCAGCTACTACCAGAAGGGACAGAGAGTTTCATCTATGCTAACGATCATGCCATCACCACAAGCATTGAGCTCTGAAATGGTTGGAAAAAAGCTCTTTGGAAACTTGAAGTGCTCTTACTGCCTATTACAGGGAAGACCAGCTGATTCCTAATCCATCTGAAATGCAGACATGTGCTTTTCACCTTAAGAACAGACAAGCAACTCAAGCTCTGAGGAGTATCTGGGAGGGAATCCCACTGGGACTCTTGATTACCTGGGAAGGAATCCCATTGCAGTATTGCAGCACACCCAAATACCTGGGAGTCACTCTGGACCGTGTTCTGACTTACAAGAAGCACTGCTTGAATATTAAGCAAATGGGTGCTAGAAACAATTATCACATGAAAGATGACTGGCACAACCTGGGGATCACAACCAGATACAGTGAAGACACCTGCCCTTGTGCTTTGCTACTCTGCTGCTGAGTATGCATGCCCAGTGTGGAATACATCTCACCACGTTAAAACAATGGATGTGGCTCTTAATGAAACATACCGCATTATCACAGGATGTCTATGCCCTACACCACTGGAGCAACTGCACTATTTAGCTGGTATTGCACGCATCTATGTGTAATGGATTCCCTTCATGCAAGGGTAAGGTTCCTGGTGGGCAGGGACCAAAGCAAACACTAAAATACTAGAGCACCCTTAAAGTCAATGCAAAACAAAGGTCACTAAAAAGCAGCAAGAAAGGCATCTCTAAAACTAGATTTCTAGAAAACACTCCAATCCGTAATTGCTAAGAAATTAATCTCTATTATTCAATTCTACATCCCAAAGGCTCAAAAATAGATTTGGGATCTTTTAAGAAGCACCCCAGCCTCACCTTGAAGTGCTGGTTGTTTTTTGGGTTGATGCGAAAGCAGGACACCAAGCAGTCGATCATGAGGTCGATGTCAGCATTCTGGTTGTTTTTTAAGAAAGGCTTGTTAGGGTTGAACAGCAGGTTCTAGAACACAACAAACATGGGCTCTGGTTATTATTCACCCTTCTGACCCAATATCTGTTGTGCTGTGATCAACTTCTTTCTTATATAAAGCTTCCAGACTTTTGATTTCCAAAACAGAGGTTGCTACATGACAGTATCAGTGGAAAAGAATGCAATATATTGTGTGGCTAATACTTTAAAGCAGTGTTACTCAACCTTCTTAATGCCGCGACTCCTTAATGCAGTTCCTCATGTTGTGTTGACCCCCAACCATAACATTATTTTCATTGCTACTTCATAACTGTCATTTTGCTACTGATATGAATCATAATGTAAATATCTGATAAACAGGCTGTATTTTATTCACTGGACCAAATTTGGCACAAATACCTGGTACGCCCCAATTTGAATACTGGTGGGTTGGAGGGGGGTTGATTTGGCGTTTGGGAGTTGTAGTTGCTGGGATTTATAGTTCACCTACGATCAAAAAGGATCCTGAACTCCACCAATAATAGAACTGGACCAAACTTGGCACACAGAACTCCCATGACCAAGAGAAAATACTGGAAGGCTTTGGTGGGCATTGACCTTGAGTTTGGGAGTTGTACTCCACCTACACCCGGAGAGCATTGTGGACTCAAACAATGATGGATCTGGACCAAGCTTGGCATGAATACTAAATATGCCCAAATGTGAACACTGGTGGAGTTTGCGGAAATTGGACTTTGCCATTCAGAAGTTGTAGTTGCTGGGATTTATAGTTCACCTACAATCAAAGAGCCCCTTGAACCCCACCAATGATAGAATTGGGCCAAACTTCCCACACAAAACCACAATGACCAACAGAAAATACTGAAGGGATTTGGGAGGAATTGACAGTGATTTAGGGCAGATGTAGTTTATCTACATCCGGAGAGCACTGTGAACCCAAATAATGATAGATCTGGACCAAATTCCTAGGTCAGTACCCTCAAAAGGGACCGCCTCACCCCCGACCAACCCCCGAGATCCCTCCGTTCTGAGGACCAAGATTTGTTGAAAATTCCTAGTGTCAAGACCTTGCGTCTAACAGCAACCAAACGCAGAGCCTTTACAGCAGTGGCACCATCACTCTGGAATACTCTGCCACCTTGAGTCCGTGCCTTGCGGGACTTATCAGCTTTCCGCAGGGCATGTAAGACATAATTGTTTAGACAGGCCTTTGATCTTTGACATTGCTTTTTTAAAATTGTTTTTAAATTGGATTTTAGCTTGTTCTTGTAAGCCGCTCCGAGCCCCAAGGGAGTGACGACATATAAGTTTGAATAATAAATAAATAAAAATAAAATAAAAATTTGGTACAAATACCTGATACACCAAAATTTGAATACTGGTTCGGTTGGGCTTGATTTTGTCATTGGGAGTGGTACTTGCTGGGATTTATAGTTAACCTACAATCAAAGAGCACTCTGAACCCAGCCCACTATGGATCTGCCAACACTGATCATTCGTGGGGGTTGGGGGGTGTTTTTGAATTCTGGGAGCTGTAGTTCACCAACACTCAGAGAGCACTCTGAACTGAACTGTTGGTGGAACTAGTAAACTTGCCACACACACTCAACATGTCAAACTTTCAATACTGGTGGGGTTTCGAGGGGACTGACCTCATGACTGCTCTGCCCTCCCTGCTTGGGGTCTCAGAAACAGCCCTCCCCTTGGTTGAGAGGCCAGCCAATCACAGCAGGAGGAGGGCTTTTGGTGATTTGGGGGAGAGGCTGTTTTGGAATTCTGGGAGTTGCAGTTCACCAACATCAAAAAGGAAGAGGATAGACAGAGAGATTTTCAGCCTTAGGGGTTCCTAAGGCCATCTGAAATATATGTTTTCTGATGGTCTTTAGTGATACCTCTGAAACCCCCTAGTGACTCCCAGGTTGAGAAATGCTGCTTTAAAAAAAATAAGAGCAGGAAGAGTAAGATTTAAGGAATGTGTAACCACATTCTCACGCGAAAGGAGAAAGTACACTTATGGCAAATTGTTTATCAGATAAGAAAAAACAAAACACACACGCATACTTCAAATGACCATCCTGGGGTGAAACAGATGACCAATCCCACAAGCCAAACAATAAAGCCTCGCCTTGATTGTCACTGCTCCGCAAATAGTGGACGACCTGTGCAAGATTATTTTGAATCCTTAAGCTTTCCTGACTAGAAAAACTTCCCCATGGCTGAGCTGTTTAAAAGTAAAAGGCTGTAGAGTGTACTACACCATTCTTTAGCTTCCTTCCCTTACCTTGAGATCAACCACCATTGACTGCACAAGTAGGAAAATGACAGAGTTGTCTTCCCAGCTGATATAGGTTGAGGCTTTGCACAATTTCACACAAGCAATGGCTGCACTTTCGGTGAGCTGCCGACTTCCACTGTGGCCTGCAAGTGCCTTCCTGAGGTTGTCCAGAAATACCTTCTGCAAGATTCAAAACCAGAGGTGTTAGAACGCCAAATCCGAGGCATCTGGATGCAATTGTCACACTGACCACCCCAGAGGACTTCATCATTGGCTCTGGTGTGCAATGTGCTTTATGCCACAGTCATTACAGTTTATGCCTATGTTTATGTTTTATCTATATATATATAAATACTCTGTGCATAATGAGTTCCTTAAAAACAAAAAAACCCAATGAACGAAATCACCCCAAATTTGGCAACAAAACATCTCTCAAGAAAATATGATTTTGTCATTTGGAAGTTGTAGTTGATGGGATTTATAGTTCACCTATAATCAAAGAGCATTCTGAACTCCACCAACGATGGAATTGAACCAAACTTGGCACACACACCTCCCGTGACCAACAGAAAACACTAGCAGCGTTTGATGGGCATTGACCTTGAGTTTGGGAGTTGTAGTTCACCTATATCCAGAGAGCACTGTGGACTCAAACAATGATGGATCTGGACCAAACTTGGAACGAATATTCCATATGCCCAAATATGAACACAGATTGAGTTTGGGGGGAAATAGACCTTGGTATTTGGGAGTTGTAGTTACTGGGATTTATAGTTCACCTACAATCAAAGTGCATTCTGAACCCCACCGACGAGAGAATTGAGGCACACTTCCCACACAGAACCCTCGTGACCAACAGAAAATACTTAAGGCCATTCAATCCAACTCCATTTACCAGGGCAGGAAAACGTAATCAAAGCCCTCCTGACAAAGAGCCATCCAGCCATAGATATAATTCACACAGGCACAGATATAGTATCATAGATTTGAAAGGGGCACCTAAAGAAGGACTATGATATGTTGCATGTTCCAGAGTAGGCAAACCACACAATCTCTACATCAACACTGACAAAGAAACAGCAAGAAATACTGTTGACCCATAAGAATAAAGAAATTACATATATTAGAAACCAGCACTTTCTAATTACTTTATTTTCCATATCACCAGACTGGGCCACAGCAACGCGTGGCAGGGGACCACTAGTATTGTATGTTTTTGTATTATTTTGCACATGTGGAAACCGCTCTGAGTCCCCTAAGGGAGATAGGACAGTATATAAAAAATGTTTTATTATATATTATTATTACAGAGCCCCAGAACTATGGTAACTTTTGCAAAAACAAAGCCAATTAACTGAATTTTTTAAAAACGAAAAATGATGTCATTTTCTAAAATACTTTTCTTTTTGAGAGGTGTACTTGTGCCTGGACTGCACCATAGAATCATAGAGTTGGAAGAGACCTCATGGGCCATCCAGTCCAACCCCATTCTGCCAAGAAGCATGAAAATTGCATTCAAAGCACCCCCAACAGATGGCCATCCAGCCTCTGTTTAAAAGCCTCCAAAGAAGGAGCCTCCACCACACTCCGGGGCAGAGAGTTCCACTGCTGAACGGCTCTCACAGTCAGGAAGTTCTTCCTAATGTTCAGGTGGAAACTCATTTCTTGCAGTTTGAAGCCATTGCTCCCTTGTGTCCTAGTCTCCAGGGCAGCAGAAAACAAGCTTGCTCCCTCCTCTCAATGATTTCCTCTCACATATTTATACATGGTTATCATGTCTCCTCTCAGCCTTCTCTTCTTCAGGCTAAACATGCCCAGATCTTTAAGCTGCTCCTCATAGTATTGTCTTTTGTTTAAAATTTGTATGTTTTTTTGTTTATATAGGCATTGAATGTTTGCCTCTTATTATGTTGGAAGACGGCCTGAGTCCCCATGGGGAGATAGGGCGGGATAAAAATGACCTATCATTATTATTATTATTACTATTATTATAAAGTTCTTGTTGACACCATACTGTTTTTGTTGACCCTACTTTTCCACTTACAAAACTATTTTACTGTTTTTCTTTGAAATACAGCAAAAATTCAAAAACATTTCAGCTATGGGTACCTCAATTAATGTTATTGGTATCTATTTTTATTTTGAAATTGACCCGTAGCTGCTGCATTTCCCACCTTTGGCTTATCCTCGAGTCAATACGTTTTCCCAGTTTTTTGTGGTAAAATTAGGTGCCTCAGCTTATATTGGGGTGGGCTTATACTCAAGTATATATGGTAAGATGTTCAGAGGGAGGTTCTAGTTTAGCCCACATGTTTCAGCATCACACAGCTTTATTAGTTTAAAAAATATTGCAAACTATTAGGCTGCCTGTGGGAGATGTTTTCCACCCTCTTCACCTTGTTTGCTTTGTTCTCATCCACCACATCTTTGGCAATGTCTTGGATGATGACTGGACACAAGACAAGGAGGATGATCTGCAGCGGCCAAACAGCGGCTTTGCGTTTTGTGCTTTCTGCAAACCCGTCCACCAAATCAAAGAGCTTCTCTGCACAATCTGCAAGAGACAAGACAAGACCAAACAATTAGTCAATGCAAAAAAAAAACAAAAAACCCCAAGCGCAACAGCATACACCTAGGCTCCAAATGCAGCCCTCTCATTTTTAGCACAATATCAATATTTAATATCATAGCAACAACTCTTGGAAAAAAATAACATTTGCACATCACAATGACCTTCATGGGAAGGCAAGTCCCCTTTCCAACATATATACTTTTTCCGGTCCCAATTCAAGGTGCAGGTTCTTACCTACAAAGCCCTGAACGGTTTGGGACCCGCCTACCTGCGTGACCGCATTTCTGTGTACGAACCCACACAATCTCTTTGATCATCTGAAGAGGCCCTGCTTACGCTCCCACCTCCTTCGCAGGCGCGATTGGTGGGGACGAGGGAGAGAGCCTTCTCGGTGGTGGCCCCCCGACTCTGGAACTCACTCCCAGGGACATTAGACATGCCCCAACGTTGGCAGTCTTTAGGAGGAGCCTGAAAACATGGTTGTTCCAGTGTGCCTTCCCAGAATAAGAAGAACTCTCAGCAATATGCCCTCACAATGCACTTTAATACTGACTTAGGATTGACTGCATTCCCTCATTTCTCTCTGAAAAATCCTATCCCAGTAATAGTAATAGTAATAATAATAATAAACCTTTATTTGTACCCCACTAACATCTCCCGAAGGACTCGGTGCGGCTTACAAGAGGCCGAGGCCCAAACACATCAAAAACAACAGCATCACAAATACAACAAAATAACTCATAAAACAGCAATACACATTGAAACAATAGCAAATAATATTAGACAATAATACCATGACACATTAAAAAAAAACTAAGGCCGGGCCAATGTAATGATTAAAAATTTAAAGGTAAATATTTTACCTTGTTCATATCAGCATATTTTCAATTTTAATCTATTACATTTGGCCCAGCCATTTTTAAAATGTTTATATGTCACTGTTTATTGTTTATTGTATATTTTCTGTTCATGTCATTAATATGATTTGTATTTTATTGATTGTTTTATTGATGTTCTGTTTATTGATGTTTTGTTTGATGTATTTTTGGGCTTGGCCTCATGTAAGCTGCACTGAGTCCCTTGGGGAGATGGTAGAGGGGTACAAATAAAGATTATTATTATTATTATTATTATTATTATTATTATTATTATTATTGGGAAAAGAATCCAGCTTAGATGGTTGAAACCCCATTTTTTAACATCTTCTAGAAAATTAAAAAGTTTTACAGAAGTTGTTGCAATCAACAATGATCAAAGATGCATAGAGTATAAACTCACTTTTTTGTTGGTTTTTTTTGTCGTGTCAGGAGCGACTTGAGAAACTGCAAGTCGCTTCTGGTGTGAAAGAATTGGCCGTCTGGACGTTGACCAGGAGACGCCCGGATGATTTGATGTTTTTATCATCCTTGTGTTAGGCTTCTCTCATGTCACCGCATGAAGAGCTGGAGCTGATAAAGGGAGCTCATCTGCCTCTCCCCGGGTTCGAACCTGCGACCTGTCGGTCTTCAGTCCTGCCGGCACAGGGGTTTAACCCACTGCACCACCGGGGGTTCTCAGTTGTGTCTATGCAAATCCCCAAACTCAAAATTTGACAAAAATTTCAAAATTTCAAAAGCCTGGGCCAGGCTTTAGCACAGCAGACCAACCGCCACCTATAGTAAATCTTGCCCATCAAAAGGTTGACAGTTCAAGACTGGGTTGAGGTGGGTTCCTGGCCGTCAGCCCAGCTTCTGCCAACCTAGCAAATCAAAAAATAACAACATGAGTAGACAAATAGGAGCCGCTTTAAAAGCAGGGAGGTAATAAAGGAGTCCATAAAGGACTATACCAACAATTCAATCGGAAAGTGTCTACAGACAACAAAAAAGTTCTTCGGCATGGAAGATAAAGCAACAGCAACCCGTGTGGCCAGAGTCAAACACAACCTCCAGATGTCTGAGATAGAAAAAAAGCCTATACCTCTGTTTATGTACTGTCTATCCTGTCAATTTTATAACAACATTGAATGTTTGCCTATGTTTTCTGTATAAAGTTTGCATGCCACTCTGAGTCCCCTGTGGGGAGAGAAAAGCGGGACAGAAATTATATAAACAAATAAAAAGGAAAATGGCGGAAATGCTCACATCCATATCACATTTATGATATGGCATCATGCTTTGCACACTTCATACAATCACGAAAATGAACGAAACTGTTGCCTGAAGACTGTTGCCATAAGATATGCAGTCCAAAACTTAGTGTTGACTTACCTGACAAATCAGTCTGCGGCGTCTGATACAGCTTTGTAAACTCATCTGGATAGTTTTCCACCCAATTCCAAAACGCCTAAACAACATCAAGAGATGTCATAAGAAATCATTTAGTTTGGAGAATGCATTTGTAACACAGAAATCCATCTGGTGATGAGAAGCCATTTTGTCGTTTCCAAATGTATTACTCTGATTCATCACAATATCACCATATGCATGACAAACATCTGAATATGGTGAACTGGACTGTTGAGGTCATCCTCATCCAGGGGCTGCTGATGGATTCACAGATTATTCAGAAGGGATTGTGGGATTTCCTGCGGTTTAAAGTGCTGCAGATTCAGGCCAGGTTCAATGTGTTAAAGATTCAGGTCAGGGAAGTGAAACTGGCTCAAAAAGTGCCAAGTTCCAAGGTCAATTACAGGAGCCAGAAACAACATCATTAGGTAAGGGGTCGAGTGAAGAAGAATTAAGTTAAATGGAAAACTCTCGGAAGCACTTGGTGTTACAGAGATAAGCAAAAGTCCTTCTTTACAGTTCAGAGCAGAGAATCGGATAGGTAGGTCCAGGAGAATTCATGGGAAAGAGATAGAGAAAATTCATGGGATACGACATGATTTCATGAGTGCTTATTAACAGCCAGTTGTTTACCTTATAGTTGGTTCAGGCAACGTTGGCTTTCAAAGCAGAAGCTAGGCCTGAGTTCTTGTGTCAAGTCAAGTCTTGGTTTTGGAATCAAGTATCCTTTTGTTTTATGATTCTTCCTCAAGTTCTCTAAGTATACCTTTTGTTTAGGAATTTATGCTGTACCTGTGAGCTTCAGCTATTTCTGGACTGTGCTCCCATTGGATTTTTATGAGACATTTGGATTCCTATGTGGCTATCTCCTATTGCTAAACCTTTTTTGGATTATCCCTCTCCTTTCTTAATTCTTGCTTTTCCATATACCATATATTCCAGCATGTAAGACGACTGGGCGTATAAGACGACACCCAACTTCTCCAGTTAAAATATAGAGTTTGGGATATATTCGCCGTATAAGACTACCCCTCTTCCAACGCACACCAAATAAAAATTTAAAAAGCATCAGATTTGATTTGAATATGGTAATTTTCCTATTACTGTACCTCCTTCCCTGCCTCTCAGATCTCGCACATGTGCACCTGCATTACTTCACTGCAGTCTTCAGGAGCAAGATCTGAGAGGCAGAGGAGGAGGTACGGTAATAGCACATCCCGATTGGATTACTGCAACGCACTCTACGTGGGGTTGCCTTTGAAGACTGCTCGGAAACTCCAACTAGTCCAACGAGAGGCAGCCAGATTGCTCACCGGAGCGGCATACAGGGAGCATACCACCCCCCTGTTGTGTCAGCTCCACTGGCTGCCGATCCAATTCCGAGCACAATTCAAAGTGCTGGTTTTGACCTACAAAACCCTATATGGTTCCGGTCCAGCGTATCTGTCCGAACGGATCCCCTTCTACGTCCCACCTCAGAGCTTAAGATCTTCTGGGGAGGCCCTGCTCTCGACCCCGCCTCTTTCACAAGTGAGATTGGCGGGGACGAGGAGCAGGGCCTTCTCGGTGTGGCCCCTCACCTGTGGAACTCACTCCCCGGGGAGATTAGATCGGCGACCTCCCTTTATTCATTTAGAAAAAAAATTGAAAACCTGGATGTGGGACCAGGCATTTGGACGGTCAGACAGCTAAAGAAAGACATTGATGGTGAGCAGGAATGGATAAAACGGAATGGACCTACAGAACTCTGAAAACGCTGATTTATCTATTATTGTGTTTTGTATTACTGTGTATTGATGATTTTAATTTTAATTTAGTTAATCGTTTTAAGTGTTTGTATGTTTGATATGGGCATCGAATTGTGCCTTTTTCTGTAAGCTGCCCTGAGTCCCTCCTCCGGGGTGAGAAGGGTGGGGTATAAGTAACGGGAATAAATAAATAAATAAATAAATAAATAAATAAATAAATAAATAATAGGATAGCAGGATGCGCAGGACAGGTTAAAGAGTTGTGTTTTTCTCGGCCCAGACTCAATCTATCTCTTTTTTCCATGCCCCGGGTGCCCCAGAAGCCTGCAGCTTGCTCTGCCCTTCACTTACAACTTCCCGGTGAGGCGCCTCTTCACCTCACCATCGGGACCGCATTAAGTCCACGCATCCTGATAAATGAATTTTCTTCTACTGTACTTGTACAGCGTCATCCTTAATGCTTTCATACAGTCACTGCATACAGCAGGGACACAGCCATTGCCATTTTTGAGCTTCCCCCACCATATGCAGCAACCACAGACTCTCCAATCCGATTGGAAGTTTCAGCACCCGCTCTATAAGACCACTCCCATGTATAAGACTACTCCATGTATAAGACTACTCCGTGTATAAGACGACCCCTGAGTTTTGAGAAGATTTTCTTGGGTTAAAAAGTAGTCTTATACACCAGAATATACAGGTATTTTATGTGTTTTTACAATAAACCATTTTCTTATACTGTGGACTTGTGTGGCACTGTGGTCATAGGTGGCTCCAGGCCTGGGGTGCAACATAGACAGGCCTTTAGTGTCATCCTGCAGGTCTCTTACGATAATAGTTTTTTTAAAAACCTAAGTATTCACATATTCTTATGTGATCCCATTGTATTATGCCTTCCTGCTTGAGGGGCAGGGGAAAACATTGGATTTGTTCTTCAGTAGAGCTAGCAGGGTGTAAGATTTTGAATGCTGGACTACGAATATGGGAAACAAACTTCAAATCCCTGCTCAGCCAAGGAAACCACTGAGGGATGTCAGGCATTCTCTCAGAAGAAAGCAAAGGCAAACCCTTTCGGAACAAATCTTGCCAATAAAACCTCATGATATGGTGACTGCAAGGCAAAGCCTAGGTCAGAAAATGACTCAAAGAAACACAACAACAATTGAAAAAGAATACGAGCCTAAGCAATTACAAGTGAAGAAGAAACTTGCCTTTTCAAGACTGTTGATAACTGCCAGTTGTGCTGCTTTCTTGAGGGCTTTGAATTTAAAGGCCGTCTCTGTAATAACATCAACAAGGAGAAAGATCAACAGGCGGAAATCCCAAGCCTCTCTCAAGCCATCCCTCATCGACCCACAAACCTCCAACTGAAAAAAATAAAAAGCTTTTCTGCTTACCTTGCAATATACGTTTCAATTTTGCACAGTCTACGCTGATGTACTGCAAGAGTTCGATGTCGTGAACATCGGCGTTGTCTTCAGAGCACACAGTCAATTCCTGCAATCTGGAAAATAATTAATACCTTCCTCAAAATCTATATAAACAATAAAAGTAGAAATCTGTATATGTTTATGTGGCTGGGGTGCTCACTTACACAGACACGCTCCTGCCTCCACATACAACTATAGATCCCACTCAGGAGACACCAATGGCCCTCCCTCCAATTCCAATGTGCCTTCAGTGACTGAATGTAGAAACTCCCTGACCAAACTTTGCACTAAATGTCCTTAGAAGCACTTTATTTATGGTTCGTGCAATTGAATCCTCCCTCATTCTCGGATCCTCATCCTGATGATTTGCATCGTCCTATCTCCCAAAATTTTTTAAATTTTAGCCTTGAATGTGGCCCTTCCCAGTGAAATCCTCTGTTTTTAATTGCATATTTTCTGTGTTGTTTATTATATTTCTTTGCATTTTATGTATTTTATTTACTGTTATTGTTACGTTTTTGTATTACAATGTATGTACTGCACTGATGGGTGTGGCCTCATGTAAGTCGCACCAAGTCCCCCTGGGGGAGATGGAGCAGGGTATAAAGTTTTATTATTATTATTATTATTATTATTATTATTATTATTATTACTATTATTGCAGGTTATAGTGATTGCCTTGAACATGTCAAAAAGCCCTGCCAATGTCCTCCAGAAACACCATCCTGCCCACTACCCAAGTGAAGGCTTTCATACGGGGAAGATTTCATCCCAGATTTTATGTGCTTCCTCCACCACAGACATCCCAGTGGTGTGGAATTTCATCCCAAATTCCCAGTGGTGGGGAATTTGCATGACCCCACCCACTGCCTCTCCCTTAACCCTTTCCTATCCTTTTCTATGGCGCAAGGGAAACAGGAATTGATCAGCAACTGATCATACTATTTATTTATTTATTTACTTTACTTTACTTGTATACCGCTCTTCTCAGCCATTTGGCGACTCAGAGCGGTTAACAACCAGTATCAGCAATACAGTGCAAAATCACAATAAATTAAAACAGTAATATCAATCAATTAACATCAACATCAATACAGGAAACAACAATCCATCACGTCTCATCAATAGAATCAGCATGCAATCTCATTGTCCATTAATCCATATTCCAGTAATCAATCAATTGTACTGCTTAGTTGAAAGCCTGATCGAAGAGCCAGGTCTTCACTCTTTTCCTGAATGCCAATAAGGAGGGGGCCGATCTAATGTCTGTGGGAAGGGCGTTCCACAGCCGGGGGGCCACTACTGAGAAGGCCCTGTCTCTCGTCCCCGACAGGCGTGCTTGTGAAGCCAGCGGGACCGAGAGCAGGGCCTCCCCAGACGATCTTAACGTCCTAACTGGTTCATAGGAGGAGATGCGTTCGGACAGATAGGTCGGGCCAGAACCATTTAGGGCTTTAAAGGCTAAAGCCAGCGCTTTGAATTGTGCCCGGTAGCAAATTGGCAGCCAGTGGAACTAGTGCAACAGAGGAGTTGTATGCTCCCTGAGAGCTGCTCCTGTTAGCATCCTGGCTGCCGATCGTTTCACCATTTGAAGCTTCCGAGCAGACTTCAGAGGCAACCCCACGTAGAGAGCGTTGCAGTAGTCTATACGGGATGTAATCAGAGTGTGGACTACCGTGGCCAAGTCAGATTTCCCAAGGTACGGGCGCAGCTGGCGCACTAGTTTTAATTGTGCGAATGCTCCCCTGGTCACCGCTGAAACCTGGGGTTCCAGGCTCAGCTGTGAGTCCAAGATCACACCCAGACTGCGAACCTGCGTCTTCAGGGGGAGTGTAACTTTGTCCAACACAAGCTGTAACGTTATACCCTGTTGGGCCTTACGACTGACCAGGAGTACCTCTGTCTTGCCTGGATTCAATTTCAATTTGTTCGCCCTCATCCAGACCGTTACAGCAGCCAAGCACCGGTTCAGGACCTGAACAGCCTCCTTAGAAGAAGGTGGAAAGGAGTGACAGAATTGGACATCATCCGCGTACAGATGACATCGTACTCCGAAACTCCGGATGATCTCTCCCAGCGGCTTCATGTAGATGTTGAATAACATGGGAGACAGTATTGAACCCTGAGGAACCCCACAAGATAACGGTTGTGGGGTAGAACAGGTGTCTCCCAATAACACCTTCTGAGAGCGACCCTCTAGGAAGGACCGGAGCCACTGCAAAACAGTGCCTCCAAGGCCCATTTCCGCGAGGCGTCCCACAAGGATACCGTGGTCGACGGTATCGAAGGCCGCTGAGAGGTCCAGCAGAACCAACAGGGACACACTCCCCCTGTCTAGTTCCCGGCGAGAGAGCTTTAGGGAGAATTCACCTGATTTATAGGAGTTTTAGGTCCTGGGATGTATAGTTCACCTGCAATCTAAGAGCACTCTTAACTCTACCAACGATGGACCTGGAACTAACTTGGCACACAGAACCCACATAATCAACAAAAATACTGGAGGTCTTTGGGGGGATTTATAGGAGTTGTAGTTCACCTACACCAAGAGTGCACTATGAACTCAAACAATGATGGACCTGGACCAAACTTGGCATGCATACTCGTTATGCTGAAATTTGACTACTGTTGAGTTTTGAGGGGAATTGGTCGGGACATTTTGGAGTTGTAGGTACTGGGATTTATAGTTCATCTGCAACCAAGGAGCACTCTGAACTCCACCGAAGAAGGAATTGGCAGATAGAGTCCCCATGACCAGCAAAAAATGCTGGAGGTCTTTGGGGAAATTCACCTTGATTTCGGGGAGTTGCAGTTCATCTACATCCAGAGAGCACTGTGAACCCAAACACCGATGGATCTGGGCCAAACTAGGAACACATGCCTCATATGCCGAAATTTGATGACTGGAGGGGTTTGGGGGGAACTGACCTTCCTTTCTGGGAGTTGTAGTTCACCACAACTAGACTTCCACCAATGATGGACCTGGACTAAACTTGGCTCACGGAACCCTCATGACTAACTCAACCTACTGGAGAGGTTTGAGGGGACCGACTCATCATAGTGGGAGTTGTAATTTACCATACAACCATACAGCAAACTGAACCCCACCAATGATGCATCTACAGCAAACTTGCCCAACATAACAAACTGATGGGAGTTTCTCGGGTCTAACCTGGTATGATGTGAGTTGTAGTTCACCCACAACCTTATGTATAATTAAAAGATTTACTTTGTCAAACGATGTGGCAATGTCAGATACCCAGGCTAGTGGACAATAAGGTTTGCACCCACAACGAAGTATGAAGCCACTACAAAGTGATAATTTCACGACTATACAGGCAGTTCGGCCTATTGCTTTAAGATTTGTCTGTTAAACCTACCTGGTGGAGATACGGCTGAAGACAGCATTGAAATTGTTGCAGCTGAGAGAAAAGAGAACCCCAGAAGCAGAACTACGAAGCTCTGCGGCATGTTGATTCCCTTCACGGTAGGTGTGGATAAAATGGCAGATCTCAGGCAGCAACTGCTTGACCAGCATCGTCTCATCGAGCCTCATGGTGTCTTTTGGTTGCTAAAAGAATTCAATTCATCATGTAATCACTTCAAACCTGTTTTAAAGTCACTGTATATACTCAAATATAAGCCAACCCGAATATAAGCACCTAATTTTATAAATAAATAAATAATAGAGTAAAATAAATGTAATGATAATAGTAGAGTAAAACAATAAATGTAATAAAAATAATAATAGAGTAAAATAATGTACCGTATATTCCGGCATATAAGACGACTGGGTGTATAAGACGACCCCCAACTTTTCCAGTTAAAATATAGTTTGGGATATAGTCGCCATATAAGACTACCCCGCTTCCAACGCACACCAAATAAAAATTTTGAAGGCATCAGATTTGATTTCAACATGGTAATTTTTCTATTACTGTACCTCCTTCTCTGCCTCTCAGATCTCGCACATGTGCACCTGCACCACTTCACTGCAGTCTTCAGGAGCAAGATCTGAGAGGCAGAGGAGGATACAATGGCGGGCCAGACAGGTAAAAGAGTTGTGTTTTTCTGGGCCCAGAGGCACTCTATCTTTTTTTTCCATACCCTTGGCCCTCCGGACACCTGCATCTTGCAATGCCCTTCACTTACACCTTCCCGGTGAGGTGCCCCTTCACCTCATCATCGGGACCACATTAAGTCCACGAATCCTCATGAAAGGATTTTCTTCTACCGTACTTGTACAACGTCGCCCTTAATGCTTTCATACAGTTGCTGCATGCGGCAGGGAAGCAGCCACTGCCATTTTTGAGCTCCCCCCACAATATGCAGCAACCACAGATTCTCCAATCTGATTGGAAGTTTCAGCACCCGCTCTATAAGACAACTCCCGTGTATAAGACGACTCCCACGTATAAGACGACTCCCACGTATAAGACGACTCCCACGTTAAGACTACTCCCGCGTATAAGACGACCTCTGACTTTTGAGAAGATTTTCTTGGGTTAAAAAGTAGTCTTATACACTAGAATATACGGTAAATGTAATAATAAGAGTAAAATAATAAATGTAATAATAATAATAATAAATAGAATAAAATAATAAATGTAATAATAATGAGTAAATAATAAATGTAATAAATAATAACAACAACAACAACAGAGTAAAATAGTAAATAACCTTGACTTGAGTATAAGCCGAGGGGGGCTTTTTCAGCCTAAAAATGGGCTGAAAAACTCAGTTTATACTCAAGTATATACAGTAAGTATAAATAAGAAAGCTCTCCCCCTATAAAAACCCTCAGGACTACATTCCCATTGAAGTTTAGACGAAATTTACTAACATAAACAAGGAAACACCTGCAGAAGTCATCTTTAGCAGGAGAAGAGAAAGCTCTGTTATCTTTGTGCAGAACTTTTCCAAATTGGGGGAAAAACAGGAAAACCCATTTACTTAAGACATTAAAACTTATCTCTTTGAACGTTAGCTGCAAATCTAACATTCTTTTTTTCTCCAGCTCTAGCCTGAGTTGGAAGCAAAGAAATACACTTTGTGCTGCCATTTCCACCCTACAAAAACATAAACTTCCTCAACCAGTTGAAAAGCAGGTTGTCCGTGTGCAATTCACCAAGGAAATCCAGCAAGGTACTCACCCCAGCGAGACATTTTTCCAATGTGTCCAAAATAATAAGCTGAGAGAGATACAAGTTCTTTTCAGCAGCTTCTCCAAAGATCCTCTAGAAAGGAAAACAATCATGTCGTATTTAGGAAAACAGACTTGGAGCCCATCACTCAATACAACAATATGTCTGGTTTACGAATCAGACTAGAACCAGGATAACAGCACATATATTGGATCTGTAGAATAAGCTGATGGACACAGGAAGTATACATAAAATTTCCTTCAAAACTCGATAGGGAGGAAGAGAAACTAAATGATAAACAAATGCCATTTCCAAAGTTCCCTTCCAAAACAGCAACATAATGGTAGATCTGTTGACTCCCACTGGTTGAAGGACAAGTATGAAAAGTATGGGAGATCCTGTTACTCTGCCCCCACCATGTTCACTTCTGTTCTCCCAGAGCTTTAATGCTCCACCATTTGCCTGTGCCTTTGGAGACAAATGCAAAGGATGTGATTTTGTGCTAGTTAGACATGATTGATCAATTTGGTCTTGTTTTAAGAAAGCTCATTATAACAAATGAAGGGAGGAGGAGGCATTATTAAAAGGCAGCATCACACTGGAAATAAAAGTATCAGGGAGAGAAAAGCGCCCCTCTCAGCACAGCAAGGCAGCAGTCTTTCTTTCTTTCCCTTCTATCTTTCCCTTTTTTCATTTCTTTCCTTCTCTTCCTTTCTTTCTTTCCCATCTTTCTTTTTCCTCTAACTTTCCTCCTGCTTTCCTTTTCTCGCTCCTTCCCCCCACTCTTTTCCTTCCTTCCTTCACCCATGCCTTCTTTCTTTCTCCCCTTCTACCGCCAACACTCCATACATCACTCTCTGAAATCAATGGGGAGATGCCGCTTCTGAAGAACTGACACCTTTGCAAAGGAGAATGGTGGTGCCAGCGATGTGCCCCTTTCTCTCCCTCCCACTCTGGGGGCCACAACCACCGAGAGAGAGAGGAGAGGAGTGAGAGCTTTGAGAGAGGGGAAGAGGAAGGAAGGTGTACAAGAGAGGGGGAGAGGAAGGCAAGCGCGAGAAAGAGGGGGAGAGGAAGGCAAGCGCAAGAGAGGGAAGAGCAAGGAAGGCATGCAAGAGAGGGGGAGAGGAAGGCAAGCGCGAGAGAGAGGGGAGAGGAAGGAAGGTGCGCAAGAGAGAGGAAGGCAAGCATACGAGAGAAAAGAAGAGGAAGAAAGGTGCACAAGAGAGGGGGAGCACAAGAGAGGGGGAGAAGAGGACAAGTGCGAGAGAGAGGGAAGAGGAAGGAAGGCATGTGAGAGAGGGGGAGAGGAAAGCAAGTGCACAAGAGGGGGGAGAGGAAGGCAAACACGAGAGAGAGGGGAAGAGGAAGTCAAGCACGCAGGAGAGGGAAAAAGGAAGGTGCACAAGAGAGGGGGAGAGGAAAGCAAGTGTGAGAAGGGGAGAGGAAGGAAGGCGTACAAGTGAAGAGGAAGGAAGATGCACAAGAGAGGGAGAGAGGAGGGTGAGCAAAAGAGAGAGGGGGAGAGGAAGGCAAGCGCAAAAGAGGGAAGAGGAAGGAAGACATGCAAGAGAGGGGGAGAGGAAGGCAAGAGTGAGGGAGAGGAGAAAAGGAAGGAAGGCACAAAAGAGGGGGAGAGGAGGGCAAGCACGAGAGAGGAGGGAGAGGAAGGAAGGCGCGCAAGAGAGGGGAAGAGGAAGGCAAGCGTATGAGAGAAGAGAAGAGGAAGGAAGGTGCACAAGAGAGGGGGAGAGGAGGGGAAGTGTGAGAGAGTGAGAAGAGGAAGGAAGGCATGTGAGAGAAGGGGAGAGGAAGGCAAACACGAGAGAGAGGGGAAGAAGAAGTCAAGCATGCAAGAGAGGGGAAGAGGAAGGAAGGCGCGAGGGGGGGAGATGAAAGCAAGTGTATGAGAGAGGCGAGAGCTGGGTTGCTGTACAGAGAGGTGGGGGTCCTGGCAAGAAAGAAGGGTTTCTTTCAGCCCCATGCCTTCCCGCCAGGACCGTCATTCAAGCATAAGCTGAGGGGGTTTTTTCAGCCAGAAAAAAGGGCTGAAAAACTCAGCTTATACTTGAGTATATACGTTAATACCCAAATAATCACTGGAAGTTTGGGAAGCTAACACATTTTAATCTCCATAGTTTGAAAAGTTCTCCACTAAGCCCATATCTAAGTAAAACACAATCACTCACCATGTTGTTAACATTTTTTAAGATGTTGGTGAGGCCACTGATGACAAGGGAAAACTTGTACTTGGAAATGTTGATGAGACATTCCTTGTTATGGTCCGTGCTGACTTTGGTGTGGGTATTCTGTTGGCTGACTCTGATTGGAAGCTGCAATGAAAATGAAGATTTGGTAAGCACTCCCATGAAAGACAAGTCAAGCTGTTGAACTGCAGATTGTTTTAACCTGTGAACTTTTAAAACAACTCTCAATAAGTTAATCATTTCCAACAGAATCATAAGAGTTGGAAGGGACCACAAGGGCTATCCAGCCCAACCCTATTTCACCAGGCAAGAAAATATGACCGAAGCACTCTCAACAGAATACAACTTCTTGCTTCACCTATTGTATTTCAGCAACGTAATATCAAGAGACACCATAATGTACTAGTTTGAGTATTGGATCAGGTCTGAGACACACCAGAATGTGAATCCCCAGTCAGGATGAAAACCCAGCGACATTAAGTAAGGCAATCTCAGCTTCAGAGTGGGGCAAGGCTAAACCCTTCCAAACAAATCTTGCCAAGAAAACCCTGTGCTAGGGTCGTCGGGGTTTCTTGTTGAGAGCCCTCAAACCATCCTGAAGGCACACAACAACAACATGAAGTAAATACAACCAGTTACTAATACTAAAATAAAATAGTATATCAGATAAGCTTCCAATTTGCTTGAATCTTTAAGCCACACTAGTGAACACAATCCAACACAACCACTGGATGTAGATGGCCTCAAGATTCCAAAAGAGACCATAATAATCAAATCCATATACCTGCAAAATGTGGAGGGCCAGCTGTATATAAGGTCCAGTGCAACCTTTCCCATCTCCTTCTCCCCACCGCACCACTGATCATTGCTATCCTTTCCCTCTGTAGTGCTCCTTCATGGTAGTGCTGTTTCTGATTGAAGTCCATACAAAGAAGTCTCAACAAAGTAGAGCAGTGGTTCTCAACCTATGGGTCCCCAGGTGTTTTGGCCTACAACTCCCAAAAATCCCAGCCAGTTTACCAACTGTTGGTATTTCTGGGAGTTCAAGGCTAAAACATCTGGGGACCCAAAAGTTGAGAACCACAGGAGTAGAGAAAAGTAGTATGAGAAGGAAAGCAAACAGCACCACAGAAGAAGAGGAGCAACCACCAACATCAGCGCTTTCCTGTAAGGCCCAATTCCAACCATGTAACTGTGGGAGGCTTCAGCAATAGACTACTCTGCACCACACTGCTCAAAAGATCTGGTATCTCCAGCTGGTCTGGGGACTCCAGTAAGTTATGGGTCCTGGTGTATGGTCAGGAATATCAACTGCTATCACGAAGTCTATCTGAAGCCCAATGATGCCGCTCCACACTCTAAAGCAGGGGTCCTCAAACTTCTTAAAGAGAGGGCCAGGTCACAGTCCCTCAAAACTGTTGGAGGGCTGGATTATAATTTGGAAAAAAGTCAATGAATTCCTATGCACACTGCACATGTCTTATTTGTAGTGCAAAAAAAACCCACTTTGAAACAATACAATAATTAAAATGAAGAACAATTTTAACAAATATTAACTTAGTAGTATTTTAATGGGAAATGTGGTCCTGCTTTTGGCTGATGAGATAGGGTGGTTGTTGTTGTGTGCGTTCAAGTCGTTTCAGACTTAGGTTGACCCTGAGCAAGGGCCGGGTAAAGGACCTTGGAGGGCTGTATCCGGCCCCCGGGCCGTAGTTTGAGGACCCCTGCTCTAAAGCTACAATTCACATAAACAAAAAAACAGTGTCCCAGAATTTGTCTAGAAATAGTACAGGGAGCCAGCTGATATTCAAGGCTTTGTCACTGGTACACTTGCTGTGTTCATAACAAAAGCTCTCAATATCTAAAACCACAGACATACTTAAGGAGCGGTTTTGGAGCACTTAAATTGGCATTTCACAAGCATCTCTAAAATGAGCAGAGGAAACTTTAACACACAAACAGGGTGAAACAAGCATTATCACTGAAACTCAGTGAAAGCTAAGTCCATGTTTCAGAATCTTAGTTGTATCTTCTGTATGGGACAGTTTCATTTTACTAACAAAGCCCCCTCTTCCCACAAAAGAAAACACTCTATGCGTAGATCGGTACAAAAGTGCAGGCATGCAATTTAGAGAAACCCAACCCAACTACAGAGCCCAAAGCGATTAAAACTTAATGGGATTTAAAACCAAAAGGAAAAATGCTTCCTGCCTGCTGACACCACATAAATTATGAAGTGCAGGACTCTAATTGCTAATCATTATTTGAAATGATGGGGATAACACCAGGCTAGGCATGGTAAGGTGCAGAAAGCATTGACTTCTCTGGAAAAGACTCTGGGAAATGGCCACAAAGGAGAAAGAAACTGAGACATCAGTAAGAAAGATTCAGCAACAAAATCTATAGCTTGTGTATAAGGAGAGTGTGAGCTATCAAGTTAAGAAGCCATATACTAAGAGTCCATTCTGCTTCCAAGAGGGACCGGTGAGAAAGCCTTCAAACCAAGGTGTGAACCAACAACACAACCCACCCTTCATAGAATCATAGAATCAAAGAGTTGGAAGAGACCTCATGGGCCATCCAGTCCAACCCCCTGCCAAGAAGCAGAAATATTGCATTCAAATCACCCCTGACAGATGGCCATCCAGCCTCTGTTTAAAAGTTTCCAAAGAAGGACCCTCCACCACACTCCAGGGCAGAGAGTTCCACTGTTGAATGGCTCTCACAGTCAGGAAGTTCTTCCTCATGTTCAGATGGAATCTACTCTCTTGTAGTTTGAAGCCATTGTTCCATTGCGTACTAGTCTCCAAGAAAGCAGAAAACAAGCTTGCTCCCTCCTCCCTGTGGCTTCCTTTCACATATTTATACATGGCTATCATATCTCCTTTCAGCCTTCTCTTCTTCAGGCTAAACATGCCCAGCTCCTTAAGCCGTTCCTCATAAGGCTTGTTCTCCAGACCCTTTTTAGTCGCCCTCCTCTGGACACATTCCAGCTTGTCAATATCTTTCTTGAATCGTGGTGCCCAGAATTGGACACAATATTCCAGGTGTGGTCTAACCAAAGCCGAATAGAGGGGTAGCATTACTTCCTTAGATCTAGACACTATGCTCCTATTGATGCAGGCCAAAATCCCATTGGCTTTTTTGCCGCCACATCACATTGTTGGCTTATGTTTAACTTGTTGTCCACGAGGACTCCCAAGATCTTTTTCACACGTACTGCTCTCAAGCGAAGTGTCCCCCATTTTGTATCTTTGCATTTTGTTTTTCCTGCCAAAGTGGAGTATCTTGCATTTGTCCCTGTTGTACTTCATTTTGTTAGTTTTGGCCCATCTCTCTAATCTGTCAAGATGGTTTTGAATCCTGCTCCTGTCCTCTGGAGTCTTGGCTATCCCTCCCAATTTGGTGTCGTCTGCAAACTTGATGATCCTGCCTTCTAGCCCTTCATCTAAGTCATTAATAAAGATGTTGAACAGGACCGGGCCCAGGACGGAGCCCTGCGGCACTCCGCTCGTCACTTCTTTCCAGGATGAAGAGGAAGCATTGGTGAGCACCCTCTGGGTTCGTCCGTTTTACCAATTACAGATCCACCTCACTGTAGTTTTGCCTAGCCCACGTTGGACTAGTTTCCTTGCCAGAAGGTCATAGGGGACCTTGTCGAAGGCCTTCCTGAAATCCAGGTACGCTACATCCACGGCATTCCCCGCATCTACCCAGCTTGTAACTCTATCGAAAAAAGAGATCAGATTAGTCTGGCATGACTTGTTTTTGATAAATCCATGTTGACTATTAGCAATGACCGCATTTGTTTCTAAGTGTTTGCAGACCGCTTCCTTAACAATCTTTTCCAGAATCTTGCCTGGTATCGACGCGAGGCTGACCGGACGGTAATTGTTTGAGTCATCCTTTTTTCCCTTCTTGAATATTGGGACCACATTGGCCCTCCTCCAGTCTGCTGGAACTTCTCCCATTCTCCAAGAACTCTCAAAGATGATTGCCAATGGTTCCGAAATGACTCCCGCTAGTTCCTTCAGAATGAGTTTTAGCTGTTATTTTGAAACTATGCTGCTCATGAGTCTCCTCATGAGTGCAGCCTCTTCAGGGCAAAGAACTGTACTAACTATGGAGAGTGTAATTGGAGATGCTTGAAGTCTGCAAGGAAGTTACGAGTTGCAAGGGGGAACCTGTAAGCTAATGATAAGCATCTGATACAGCTGCCTAAAACACTAGTATTTCAGGATACGGGTGGAATGGTAATTCTACCCAAATGTACTTTGGCATGCCAGTCCTTCCAAAAGCAAGCGAGCCTACACATCCCTTACCTAAAACTGCAGGGTCTCCTAAATGTATCCAAAGGAAAATGAGCATAAAGAAAATATCCACTTTGCATACAACTCCCTGATTCCATTCTGTATTAAGAGAATATTGGGGTCACATCTGTATATTAAAACAGGGAGCAGTCACCCCAATATTTTGGGTTTTTTAAAAAACATTTTTCTTTTCAGTCATTTCCCTGCTCAGAATCAATCTGCAGCAAATTCAGCTAATCCTGAAGAAATACAGAATGGAGTTAAAGATACTATTCTCTGTCCAACATCCCACTGATCAAAATCGTCTTTCCTAACTCCTATAATCATAACAGCTATGTAAGATAAGGTAAAGGGTTTTCCCCTGACATTAAGTCCAGTCATTGTTTTGCTTGCTTGTTTGCATGCTGCAAGTCGCTTCTGGTTGCTTCATGGCTCTTAATGAGACATGCCGCATCGTCACGGGGTGTCTGCGCCCTACACCACTGGAGAAATTACACTGTTTAGCTAGTATTGCACCACCTGACATCCGCCGGGAAGTAGCAGCCAATAGTGAAAGGACCAAGGCAGAGACATCTCCAGCTCATCCCCTGTTTGGGTATCAGCCAGCACATCAACGACTTAAATCAAGAAAGTTTTCTAAGATCTACAGAGACACTCGTTGGAACACCTCAGCAAGCGAGAGTCCAAAAGTGGCAGGCTCAAACCCAGAACCTCAATCAATGGCTGCTACCAAATGAGAGACTCCCTACTGGGCACACAGAAAACTGGGCAACTTGGAAGGCGCTGAACAGACTGCGCTCTGGCACCACGAGATGC